GGAATAGCTCCACAGTTTCCCATGTGCGGTTTAATACTCCAGGTCCCAGAATTCTGGGGTTTACAAACTCTCGTTGTTTTGATAAAGAAGTCAGCCAAATATCTGCCTTTTCCATGTTGCAACACAACACGGGTAGTTTTCCACACAGTGAACAAAAAAAGAGTTGGTTCCATTCCTCCCTCCCTGACATATTTTAAATTGATTCCCTGACAAAAGAAATGACCAAATATAATAATTATTTTTTTATTTTTTTTCAACTTCCAGATAAGGAACATCAACTCGACTCCACCCACCAAAATAGTGGAAGTACCAGGTACGGATTCGTTTTCACTTTTTATTTCTCAGAAGACGTTTTCCACTTTAGGAAGCTGCATGTGCGGTCTCGATGCAATCACCTTGTGCTCTGTTTTCCAGTCGTTGTCAGTGCGCCCGCTCCAGAGCCAAAACCAAAGAGAGTCGTGCTCGGTGAGTCAGCAGAAGCGGGAGAAAATAATAACATGAAAAAAAACACTGTCACTCCCAGAGAGGCCGAGCATGTGCTTTCGCGCATGACGGATTTACATGCTGCCACCACATTAGTTACCCCCCCTCATCTTTATTTACAACACATATTTTATCTCACTCATTGACTTTTAATGACCTTTGACCTCATGTGCTGTCCTGTTAGAGGAGCCAGTCTCTGCTCCTAAGCTGGATCCTATACAGGAGCTGTCAGAAGAGGAGGAAGGTAAAACAGGCGATGCAACAAACGCAGCCGAGTCGACTGCATGTGATCTGCATGGATGCATCAGTCTGTTGTGGGCAGCCTTTTTCCCTTAAAGGGACGGTCCGGGTGTTTTGAAGTGTGACTCTCTGAGGTTCTTCTCCATAGTCGGTGTATTACTACAGTTTGGACTATGGAGAAGTAGCTCATACAAACCCCACTTCACATGATCCAAACTTTCCCATTTTAAGTGTGGACTGAGGTGATTTCAGTCCACACTTTTCGTAAAGTAAGCTCGATGTCTGTGCCATTAGTTGACGCCTGCCATGTCAGTATTGCTGATCATTACATCCGTCCGTCATCTCGTTGCCATGTCCGCGGCAAATCAGCTCGTAGACATTCTCCTCTTCTGCCTGCCCCGCTGCAGTCACATCCATCTGCCCGACTTTGGCATGGAGCTTGCTCTGAAAGTTGGCAAATGCATGTTTATTCGCGCTTCATTTTTGCCTCTCTGCCTGTAATTAGAGCCAGATTTGTTTTTTTTATCCTTAAATGGCTGATAAAGTGTGATTTATTTTACAGACTCGAGCAGCTTCTCTGAGAGGAGGCCGGTGGAGAAGAGGCCCGAGCCTGCACCAGAGAAGAAGCCGAGGGTGACCGCCAGTGCTCTGAAAAGGAACCCCAACATCAAGAAGGAGATGCGGCCGGATCTGGAGCAGGCCGTCATCGAGAAGCTGGAGAACCTGGGAGTCAAGTCTGTAAGTTCACAGCTTCAAACAAATCAAGAAATACTCTTAAATGTTCTTTCACACAACCTGCTTTGTATCGACCTCTTGTCAGGATCAGAGCGGTCTGAAGGACAAAGAGCTCAGCTCCATCCTGGCCAAGGTGCACTCAAAGCGGGAGAGCGTCGCCAAGGGGATGCCCGACTACTGGCGCCAACGGGAGGAGATCGCCAGCACCGTGGAGCAGAAGCTGGGCGGTCAGAGAAGAGGCAGCGACCCTGCTCCTGAGTCACAGACCAGATCCGGACAATCGGTTCAAGGCGAGTCATCGAAAAGCCTCTTAGTGTATGAGATCACCCCCCTAAGTTCTTACTCTGCCCCACACACGCACCGATAATAACCGCGCCGTACTTCTTTGATCCGTCGAAAGTCTGCTAGCTTGTCGTCACCCGTGTAACTTTCATCTGTTTTTGTCCGCGCGCAGTGCTGCAGATCCGCCCCCGATCCAGCAGCCTGCCCTCCAGGGCGACCCAGGTGGTGTCCGGACCTGCAGTCAAGCAGCCCAAGACCCCCCAGCCGGCACCGAGGATCAGGACCACCGCCCAGCCCAAGACATCTACACCCAAGACCGCTCCGAGGACCTTCACATCCAAGTAAATGAAGTGGTTTCTTGTAGTTCTCCACAAATGTCTATTTGGCATTATCATGTCCTGCATAATTACATTACAACAGAATTGAGCGGGTATACAGCACATCTACTGAAGATCTAAATGAACATAGCCGACATGCTATTTTTATCAGGTTAATAATTCTGTTCTTGTTCCTTTTTAAGTGTCAAAGTAACTGATAAAAACATGAAAGTTTAGTTTACACTGTCTCTGTGATTCTCGAGGACCCCCCCTTTCAGTTCAGATGAGGAATCTGAGGAAGAGGACACGGATGTCGAGGAGGAGCGTCAACAAAAACACCAGAGGGGCAAATCCCCGCAGCCCAGACTGAACCAGGTCCAAATCAGAGCGAGCAAAGCCAGTCCTGTCCAGCCCAGGCAGGCTCAAGCCAGGCAGTCATTCGCCTCCAACCCCCAGCAGGCCCGGGGCTCAGTGGGCGGGGCGACCAAGACGGCGGTCGCAAATCTGGAGAGCGACGAGGACGAGTGGTCGGAGGTCAGCGAGCTGCAGGAGATCGACCCGAAGCGTCTCCAGAGTTTCAAAGACCAGAACGGCAACGTGGACAAGAGGAGCTTTGGCAAAGGCAAGTTCTCTAGACATCATAGTAAATAAAGGAAGACTTTTGAATCATGATAGGTCTTACATTTTGAGATGATACCTAGATATACAAGATCATATTCGTATAGTAAGGTAAGCCAAAAGTTAAATGTAAATTGCATGCCTTCTTGAGGATAACTTGTTAGTACTCCATACTACGTAAACATGGTCTATAAAAAGCTGAAATCTGAGAAATCATCAGATATTATTTAGAAATGGAAACTGTACTAATAAACAAACACATTTATTGTATTGTTTGTTTTAATTCTTTTAGAGAACAAAATCAATGACCTGGCTCGAAAAATGGAGAAGCAGTTTGCAGAGAGAGCGATAAAGAAACCAGCAGGGGGCGTCAGCATCTTACCAGAGAGGAAGGACGAGGTTCAGGAGCTCACGGTGAGATTCGCTCCATGATAGAACCTCAGTGCTTCGGCCTACAACGTTGCTAGCTCATTTGATACGTTTGTGTGTGTGTGTGTGTGTGTGTGTGCTGACAGTACACAGATCTAGAGGAGAGCAGTGAGTGGGCGGGGTCCTCCTTAGAGGACAGACAGGAAACGGCTAAACCGGCTAAGGGCTCTGGACCGACGAGGAAGAGCCTGGACTCGCCCAGCACCAGCGTGTGGGGAACCTCCACAGGAAAAGGTGCCAAATCAGGTCAGCCCCAGCAATAACTCCAAAAGGTATCATGTATCATGTCTCTCACATGTAATAGATGCTTACACATTCACACAAACCGAGGAAAAGAGAAGAAGAACCTCCTTCTCTTTACGAGCGTCAGTCGCCTCTCACCTTCACTCAGTCGGTCATTAAGACAAAACAGATCTCAGTCAGATATGCAGCTGCTAGAAAACGGGTGTGTCCCACTTTTTGCTCCGACAGTTGGGAGTAAAAACAAAAACAAACATGCCATCGTATCTCTAAGCCCGGAGCATCCTGTTAGCACGGACCCCTCTGTGCTGTTCCTGCTTTCCCTTGAAATACCCCGATAAGCCAGTGCATTTGAGATGACTATTTCTTGTTTCACGGGCTCTATATTCTTTAAAAGGCACAATGCGTTCAAATACAGATTTGGACGATGGTTCCCAAGGTGCGAAGATGATGATGATGATGATGATGATGATGATTATTTTCGACTCTTCCTGTTTGTGAAGCGGTGCAGTAAACACAGCTGTCTTTCACCCCGGCAGGTCTGACCGAAGCTGGAACAGGAAGCACCCTGAAGAGCAGCCTGTGCTCCCTCAGCGACATCAGCGACTCCGAGGACATAAGCAATAGATAACACTAAGGTGACGTAGCAAGCACAGACACAAAGACCTCAGTCAGCCCATGTGACACCTACAGTCCACGCCTCATAGTCGGCTATAATACAGAGAGAGCAATACTTGGACGTCTGTGTAGAAAAGAAAGACCATCAAATAAATATGATAGTTAAATACCAAGTCTCCCCTGATGCCCGGTGCCAATGCTTTGCTTGCCTTCGACCTTTTTTAGCGTTCAACTTTTACATTTTAGTTTTTTCATTTGGTATATATTCATTGAAATATAACCCGCACTCCAAACCAGATGCTGTACGTAGTATGTGTCAAATTTTGTACACCAATTTGTATATTGCCTTTGAAATTGAGCGATGAGATGTGATTTTTGTATAGAAAATATTTATACGAGCAATAAAATCTATTTCTATGTGGAATCGGCTTGAAGAATTGTTCTGGGACGCGTGTCATCAAGGTTCTTTCTTTCTTCCACAAAGCACGGTAACCGGAAAGTGATTTAATACAGATTCCTCACATAATCTTAAATAAACGGATTTTCAAAGGTCAGTTTGAGAGCTCGTACACAAGTCAGGATGAACGGGAACACATTTTAACATATTTGTTTGTTGTTTTCAATACATGAGATGATGTCTGAAACAACTATAGACACCATATTTGAGCGTTTCAAGTTACATTTCTGTACAGAAGTCTAAAATCACAGAACGACTCCTGAATAAACGGGGCGCAGATGTTCTAACGATGACATTCAGTCATCTTTCATATTTCGGCCCCGTCCTTCAATTTCTGAATAGCACCTATAGTGTCACAGCTGCGAACTATACAAAACATTACCCGTTGTTTGAGTGCCATCTTCTGGCGACTCGCAGGACGTTCAGGTGCAAATGAAGAACTTTGAATAAGAAGCCACAAAGACAATTGAGAAGAGTACAAAAGAAAATAAACCCAACAGGGACGCTGAATTCATTTTGTCCATCACTAGATCTACACTTTGAAAGTGTTAAAAACAATCTTTTATCAAAAGACATAACATTTTTAAGGATTTAAAAAAAAAAAAAGATGTACAAAAAGAAACTGGCAATAACCCAAGACTCAACCCTGAGGAATGCCAGACAGCCAGAAACGCGAGGTGAATAAAGTATGGCGAACTCTTCGTTTTGAACAGATTTGTAAACAAATACAAAGTCGTATCAGATGCTGTGATGCCATCGAGCTGGAAGAGAGTGCATTGTGTTTCATGTTTCTCCTTTTATACTGAGACTTTCAGCCCGTTTCAAAAGAACAAAGCAGACGGGAAGGAATCAAAGGGTCAACAGACAGTGGATGCTCCATGATGAAAGGCAAAAAGAGGCAGTGAATACAAAATATTAAAAAAAAATAACAAACTTATTGACCAAATTCAATATATCCAGCCTTGCATTACATGATTATAGGAATAGTTTATGATTTTGGGAAATTTGTGTTTTCTTGCCGAGAAGATAGATACCACTCATGACTACGCGCGAGATATAAAGCTGGAGCCAGCAGCTGCTTAGCTTAGCATAGCTTAGTTTAGCTTAAATATTAGGCATAGGGGTAAACGGCTAGCCTAGGTCTGTCTCACCCAAAACTAAATAATTATAACGTGTTGATTAGTGAGCTTTAGAGGTGCAAGTAGTCCAATTTCGTTACCCTCTGATGGAGCCAGGCTAGATGTTTCCCCCTACTTCCAGTCTTTATGCTAAGCTAAGCTAACGGAATGCTGGCTCTGGCTTCATATTGAACGCACAGACACAACGGTGGTACTGATCAGCTCAACTAGTTCTGAGCAAGAAAGCAAATCAATGTACCGTTCCTTCCTAAGTCTTTTAGTTCACTTTCTCAGCTCAGACGAAGCTGTCCCTGTTGAAGGTCAGTCTGGTCTTCGTTGCTGCTCGGCTCGCTCGGCTCTTCCTGCCTTCATAAAACAGCGGCGGCCCCAGAGTCACTCTGGACGACGAGCCGGGCAGCATGTAGGTGCGTCTGGTCCGGGCGGTGGCGTAAGTGGCCGGCCTCCGTGGCCTTGCTGAAGAACTGTTGACATAATTGAAACAGGAGATGTATGGTCACAGATATGAAGGCAATACATCTGTTTAAGTGGAATATAACAGATTTCATATTTACGTTTTTGGGAGACCTTCTTTTCCAGAGAAGTAAGTCAGCACTGTCCCTCCAGAGAGGAGAAGGACGGAGCCTCCCCAGCCAATGAAAACGGCAGCTCCAAGTTCAAATCTGAGCAGCAAGTATTAAGGTACATTAAGATCATCCCCATTTGTAGATATCACTTGTTATAATAATCACACGGCTTTAAAAGTACTCACTTCTGTGCCCTGAAATTTTCGTCCAAGAACTCTGATACAACTCTGTTGCCCCACCATGAGTAGGTGATCATACCGCAGAACCCTAACGGAAGACATGCCTCACTTAAAACCTCCAGAGTGCATAACCTGACACACAAGTTTAACACACAAGCATCTTAAGAGTGAATATGTCTTTACCTGAAACCAGGTAGGTTATGCCGCCCGCGAAGGTCACCCTCGCGTTGGCGATCTCCGAGCCGCCTATTTTGGTGCACTTCATCCCGACGAGTGTGAGGACGCCTCCGAAGAAACCGGTGATGACGGAACAGACGGCGAGCGCTCTGCAGGCGTGTAGGAATGCTGAAAGAAAGAAAGCAGGTGAAACGAATAACTACGGAAATTATTCATTTATTATTTAATAAAACGGAGGCTGATTTTGATTTTATTTCCGAAGTCAAGTTGAGGGTCCAAAGAAAATATCAACGCTGCTTCTTAAAGATGTTATCTAACAATTAAGCCCCCCACCCCAATCATTTTCATACAGGTAAACAAAATGTAGAGCATGTTGATATTTTGACGTTTTCCCAGCATCCTACCAGGCAGCGCCAGCATGGAAGGGTAGTCCTTGCAGTCGGACACCCCCGTGGTGTCCGAGACGCAGTCCCTCCACAGGTTGGAGTAGTAGTTGGAGGTGGTCAGCACGATGGTGCCCACCTCGGAGAAGGTCCAGTACTCCGTGGGAAGGGTGGAGCACACCAGGATCCAGCCGCACAGGCAGGACACGAAGCAGCCGATCTCCAAGTACATCACCACCATCCGGTAGTTCATGGTGAGTCCTCAGGTAGTAAAACTATCGGATGTAGAGAGTAACGTCCAAGTTGGGACAACTTCTCACCGTGGGAACCCGGACTGAGCTCTTCCTCTGTGTCGTCGTCAGACCAGCAGTGTTGTCATCTTATCTTTTTAGACGGTTTTGCCTCGTAAGCACCCTTCACGTTCCCAGCGCTCGGGAGAAGGATGACGTCTTTCTGGCTCGTGCTACCACTCTAGTTAACCCTTGCGTCTCGTTTTACATCCTCACTGTTGCATCAACTGTTATTTGTCTTTATTCAAATACCTTTTTCTTCTTTTGTGACAAAACAATTGAAGGGGTAATACCACAAACTGGATCTGCACATGTGAAGATGACAAAACACAGAACTTACCATGCAGTATAAATATGCTAAAATAAAAAGGGAAATATTTCATGTTTTATTTTTTTGTATGGGCTCTGCATGTACAAATATGTACTCAAAACAAGCACAGCATGTTTATGACGGAGCCTCTTTTGTGGGTTTATTTTCGTATACACGGCTGATTTTGTAGGCTAGTATTGCACTTATAATACTGTTGATTTAATTAAATGCTACAATAACGAACCTTTTTGAGTGGTGAACTGTGCTGCCAAGTAGAACGAGGAAACTCACCACCAGGTCCAATGTATGGGGGGGGGGCACCAATTTCATAGCTGAGGAGAAAACTGTTAAAGTTGGCAAATAATATCTCAGTTTTGAAGGACCTGCTCTGCTCTGGAAAATAGAACTGTTTATGTAAAAACAATCGGCAGCCACGACTGAAACGCCTGCATGAGGGAGAGCCGGGGGGTGGGGGGGGGGGAACCAGACGAACGAGATGGAAAGCAGACGCTGTTATGGACGTCCCATCACTACTCCACCAATGCGCGTGTGGGTGGTTATGTGTCACGGTGCCCACTTTTGACTGTCCAAAGTCTTTTTTTGCGCTCCCTTATTCTAACCACCACCCTCCCATCATTTTGGCCCCGTTAGATCTTTTTGGCCCATGACATCAATATATAAAGAGTATTATTAACACAACTACAAGGAGTATTTCTGACAGATATTCAGCATGTTAAAGGGGCAGTGCAGTGATTTAGTAATGCACTTCTGTAAAGTTGGGGCTCTCATAATATACAGATTTTAAAAAAGTGGTCAAAATTCAAGCAGCAGAGGCTGAGATATTCTGACAAACGCTGAATCCTACATTTCCCATAATGCAACTCAATAGCATCTTTCATTAGACACTCCTCGCCTTTAAACTCCATACGTCCAGTTTGTACCCTGGGCTTTCTGTAAAAAACAAACAAAACAAAAGTACAACGCAATAATAGATTTCAAACATTGTTATAGAATATCTTGTACTCCTGTGTAAACGTCCTGTGTGAGATCTGTGCAGTGCCCCTTTAAATGCACATTGAAATGTATTTTAGTTCGGATAAAAGATAAGTGTATTTCCCATATTGTGCTTAACTATTCTCTTAACACTTTTAACCCTAACCCCAAAAGTGGGCTTCCGTGCACGACTAGTTATTTCACTTTACAGGACAATATAGTTGCTAAACTGTGTGTAAACTAAAAAAACAAGTTGAAATCTGAATGAATATTCTCAGATTTATTCAAATAATGTCAGAAACACATGTCCCAGTAATAAAGAAATCCTTAGATTTATACAGTAATGCAATGGAAGGACATTTTCTTGTTTGGACCGATTGTTTCCATAATTATCATCTATTATTCCTTCCATAAAATGTAGGTCCGGTCCTCCTACAGCGGTGTGAAGGTTAATAACGGCAAAGCAGACGCTGTTTACTGGGTGTATTTATTGTTTTAAATAACACAAAGGCTGCCAGCTCCGTTAGAAATGGATGTGGCTCAGTTATGAGTCATATTTAATGAGTATATATACATATATATTGGTTGTAGTTGTGACACATTAAAGATGATAAACATGAACGGCAGGCAGCGCAAAAGACAGTTCAGTGAAAAAAAGATATTAAACAGAAAACACATAATGATGACAATATCAAATATAAGAGTTTTTCTTGAACGCCGTACTCTCACTCCTTGAGCTGCCCGACAGCGACGACACTGTCCGGCTGCTGCCGCTGCTCCTCAACCCGGACAAAGACGAGACGCTGGACCTCGACGAGACGGCCGACCCCGACCCCGACCCCGACCCCACTGACCCAGCAGACCTGGTGGTTCTCCCGGTCTCGGACGAGCGCCCCGACCTGGCCGTCTGGCCCGACCTGGCCGAGCGTCCAGATTTGGACGTGCGTCCCGATCTGGAGGAGATGCCGGACAGGTCCGAGCGCTCGGACTTGGACGACAGCTCGGACACGGAGGACAGTTTGGTCTTGGAGGAGATCTCGGACGCTGCGGACGTAGCCGTGGTGGACTTGTTTTGCTCGGGGTCTGGCAGTGCCTGGATGTTGATCACCCTGGAGAGAGAAAGAGAAGCATAAAGTTCCCAACAATTGTCCAACTGTTCCTTTAAGGTTTTGTTTGTTTTTGTTTGGCCAATTTGTCAATCAAACCATCCATGTGACATAAGAATGATACTGTGACCTCTGCTAACCACAATGTTTAACAACTCTTCTCTTCACTCATTTAACCAGGAAAAGCAGTTAAACACCAGACTTCCTCTTCTTGTTTACACCAATGGCTTAAGGGTTGCTGTACAATGCACATCTGCACACTCCCAACACAACCCAAGCGAACACAGCCTCCCGCATCCCGGGTAATGAGTCATGGGACTCTGGTGTTTATTAAGGAAACGGAGAGAAAGAGAGAGGAGTTATTTATTCACTTCCCCTTGTTACGTGTCCCAACATGTGTCCTGCACTCACTTTGTCTCTCTTCCGTAGAGCGGCGCGCACACTGACCACACGTAGAAGCAACCGCCGGTGGTGTGAAAGGCGGAGCCGACCCAGCCGAGGAACATCGGGGTGCCGAGGTCGTACCTGTTGGTGTTGAGGCGGAGAGACGCTGTGAGATTTATTGGTTTATGTTTATTCAAGAGGGACTCGCAGGGTTGCGTTCAAGCCGGTTAACTTACCTCAGTCCGTTAAAGTCATGGTTGAAGTACTCCACTGAGACATACTGCGCATAAACAGCATAGCCACATGTGGACAGGATACCTGAAGAGAAATCATGTTGAGTCATGTACTAAAAATACATCCAGCTGCTGCCCCTGTCCCCAGCAGCACCCTGCTCAGCTCCCGTGCTGTTACTCCTGTCTATCCCTTTAAGACGCTAACCTTTGCCACTAAACACATAGCTGAAGCTGAGGGTAATGGCAAAGCAGAATATGTAATTAAAACGAGACATTACCGCTGATTATATGGCACCATGCGCCGGCGTAGATCTTCTTGTACTTTGAGCGGTCTTTCCCCCCGATGAAGGTGCACTCCATGCCCAGCAGACTGAGCACAAACCCCAGCATGCCCAGGGAGAGAGCTGCCATCAGCAGGCCTCGCACTATCTGGATGTGGCCTAGAGTCGCACAGCGAGACATAAATGAGGGTCTAGATGCAAGTTTTATTCCGACAGGTGGAAAACGCGTCACCTACCCTCCACGGACCAGAGCACGGGGTAGTCGTAGCAGTTGCTGACGGCAGTTGAGTCTGTGAAGCAGGATCTCCACAGGCTGGACCAGTACCAGGCCACCTTGATGATGGAGGAGCCCCCCATGCCCCCGATGGAGCTGATCTTCCAGCCCTCCATGGCCATGGTGCAGGCCACAAAGATCCAGCCCAAGATGGTCATCAGGAAACCCCAAATCTGGACCACGCGGATCTGCATCTCGGTTCTCGACGTGAATTGATCGCCTATCTAGGTTTCAGATCCAAGGACGCCTCTGATTCTAATCCTTGATCACTCATCCACAGTCCAATGTTGATGCTTTTCTTATCCTTTTTCTGTTTGATCACCCGTCTTCACGCAGAAGACGCGCACATCCCGAGCTGAACGTCTACTTTTCATCCAAATTCAAACAAGACGCGGAAGCGGCCTCGTGCTCAGCTGCTCGCCCCAGAAAAAGGAGCGGGACGAGAGCATCACAGGTACAAATCTGTTGTTTTCCAGGTACTGCTTTACATGTGGGTGAGAGATAACGGTCGCTCAGGTTCCCATGGGCCCACACTTGAGAGTTGTCACGTCTCAATCTGGACTGAGAGTCCTCACCTCAGCATTTATCTCCGATTACCAAAAGCAGCCTCCCACAGTTAAAAAAAAAAAAAAAAGGAAGATCTGTTTATAGCATCAAACCAGACATTAATTCACAACGCATAGTTTTCTTAAATAATTTCACTTAAAACATTTTTAGGTCAAGCTCCAAAAACACTGGATACTACACTTCCCACAATGCAATTTCAGTTACATCCTTCATTAGACCCTCTCTCTGCCTCCTAAATGCCCACACCGCATCGCCAGTTGGTAACGCAGGCTAAGTTCTAATGAAGCCCAAGCTGACACCCTGATGACATCATCAGGGTTATATTAAGTGGGAGCGTCTTTATTTTCAGTCATGTGACATGTACAGTGAAACAGAATATGTTGACGGGGCTTAGTTACAAGAGGGCTTAAAATCAAATCCTTAAACTTTGATTGGGTCGCTCAAAAGTGGGCGTGGCTTTGCGAATACAGAGCTGTAATGAGTAACGGAGCTGCTGACGACTGCTTTATAAGACCGAAATCCAAGTACATTTCTGCGTCAGTGACCTTTTCATGTTCCATGAAATATGTGCTTTCGCTGCTGCCACGACCTAAGCATCATTCTCGACTTTGCCTCAGGCTTTAAGCTGCCAGTTATTACTCATTTGACTTATTAGACTGTGCTGTGGGTCTCACAATTACAGCACAACGTCTTTGTGCGGTTATAATTAGAGTTAAATCTGAGGTAATGAGAGCCTGGGAGAGTGATGAATGTTCCTCGGCGATGAAAGAGCTCCTCTTTGTTTCCCAGTCCTCTCGGCTTATGACAAAGTTATTGGTAGTGGTGGGGAGGTATTGGAAACGGTGGGGCGCTGTGTTTGGTGAGGGTGGCTTTGATTGGCTTTACTTATGACACTGAGGGGGGAAAAAATGAACAAAGGGATGCTTATGTGACCGGAGCTGCGCAGGCTTTATAGAAGGTGCAGCAAATAAGGACACGTTTAACTATTTCACATTGTGAAGTTTCCTCAGATTCGTTCACCATTAAATATGCGTTAATACTGCTCTCTGGTGGTGTGATTGCAGTAATGGCTCTGTTCTGCAACAACCTCCATCCCATCTGAGATCAAAAAAATGATTGTGAAGGTTACAGAATAATTTGCAAAATAAACTACTACATTTGGAATATACAATGTGCAGACATTCATGTCTCCCTCAAGATGAGTTGTAAAAGCTTTGGCGAACCCTTTACCTTTTTAATTTTAGCTCCATCATCGGCTCAAAATGTTAATTTGTGACCGAACACCAACTGACGACATTCCCATCACGCCTCATCCTCACTTTGTGTTAAGTGCTAATTAAGTAACGATGGTAACACACTGAGTAATTGCGTCGAGATAATAACTTAATTAATTAATTGAAAAAGTCGAAGCTAGAAGGAGTTTGATGCACAGCGTTTGCGGTCTTAACGTCCCTGTATGTGATGCGGACATTAGACAATACAATACCGCCATTATATCAGAGCGCGTTCTGCAGAGCCCAGGTCACCTGACACTTGTTAACGGATGCAAGGCGCCAGAAAGCACAGGGGCAACTGCTCTCTGCCAGCTGGTTCAAGTATCCAACCTCTGGACCAGGAGGTTTTGCGTAACATAGCCTGGGGTTCCTATTGATAATAATTCCTAGGTGGAGATGGATGGCTGATATGAGGGGAAGCCTCCGGCCGGGCCTCCTGCTCTGCAGAGCCATCTCCGGGGGGTCAGACGTGACCTTGTGACCCTTGGAAGTCAGATCAGTCTCGGCACAGACCCACGAGAAAGGCCTTCTGCTTAAGAATCATTACCCGAGGGTGTCCCGTATTTCCTTAAAGCGACAGGAGAAGATTAACTGGAATTACATCATAGCTACCCAGGTTTTCAAAAGTAATATAGTCTTTATTTTTTGATTATCAAATTACTATTTGGTCACATTTACAGAATTGTTCCAGCTTTAAATGATATTACCTTTTATGTAAAGAAAATACCCCAAAAATCATGTTTACAATCACTGAAAATCATTTTAAAAACGCTTTAAAATCAATTTCCCTTAAATATTGATGTCCAATTGGCCTTTGACTCAAGAATTATGAACTAGATATTGAATATGTCTTCAGCCTATGTGAGACAGATGGCAAAGGCCAGCTTGGTGAAGGTGACCGGAGAGTTTGAATGCTGTTTTGTGCCAAATCTAATTTCCTGCCCCAAAAGAAGAAGAAGAAGAAGAAGAAGAAGAAGGAAAAAAACAAGCTTATCTTTTGCTGACAGAAATGTTCCCAAAAAGTAGCCAAATTCATAGTCGAATCTTGCCACTGCAGGTCAGCAGAATCTGTAAACCGACACATGAATTACACTCTCCGCGCATTATTGTCATGGAGTCGAGGCACAGAAGTTCATAAAAGTAAGTGGTGTCCTTTGCTTTTACTGGTGAAATCATTTCTATCGTGACAACAAGTCCAATGTCACACGTAGGCGTTCCTTCCAAACCGCCTCGACGGCTCCTCTGGTTCCCTGTGGAGGCTGTTGATCGGCTTTCTGTGCTTGTTGCGTGCGGTCACAAACGACGCGGCTCCAGTGTACGAGTATTCAGCTCTGCAAAGAGACGACAACAAGAAAGGATGAGTAACGAAGGCGGAAAATACAGAAATGTTAAAGTAGGGCTGTTCTCTGTAGATAATAAAACCTGCTGAGCAGTAAAAGAGCGCCAAATCCTGCTAAATATGACTTTATATCATCCCTCCTTTCTGTTCCTCTTAGCTTTCTGTCTTTTTAGCCGATACACGGATATGCTAAGCAGGACTCACTCTTATAAAAATGATGCCCAGGGATGTCTCCAAAAGAGAAAGTTGGCATTCTTTGCCTGATGCAACATTTCCCATATAACTGCCCTCAGCCAAGGTGACTTTCACTTGGAAAAGGTCCTTATTACTCGACTGTAACAAAGGAAACATTCAGCCACATACGGCCGCAGTACTAATCAAAATGACGATCATACAGCCTGGCCCTGTAGGTTCGGCAATTACGACACGAGATGTTGAGAGAGATTACTGGATGTTTTCTCTCCGTTGCAGTTAAAGTAATTATTTAAATTGCCTGATTGAGTTAGCAGTTTAAGAGTCGGTCCAAATCAGATTCCCTCTAAGCCCCTTGTTGCTGATGACAGACGTGGGCTCACAATGTTAGCATCCAGCATGTTAGAAATATCAAGCGACTCGCCTGGCACTGGAGCCCTCAGACAGGGAGAGGCAGAAGATCAGTCCCCCCAGGATACACAGCACGGATCCAGCCCAGCCGATGAAGAGAGCTGCTCCCAGCTCAAACCTGGAGGGTTGAAGTGGGGGGAAAGACGAAGAAATGTAGGACGTGACTTCCTTTCATCTGAATGTTAATCCTGAATACTTACTTCTGGGCAACAAAGAGGGGGTCAAAGAAGTCGGTTGTGATCCTATGAGCGTATATGGAGCACGCAGTCATGCAGCAGAGGCCTGCGAAAAGAATTAAGAGGATTTCTACTTCCAAACCGGACTGAAATCAAAGCAGCGAGAGCCGATTGTGTCGTTCACTTGAACACTGATGTAGCCCAAAGTTGAACAGCTTCCTAAAATGCAGCTCAGTTTCATGCGTTGTACCGCTGAGGACGAAGTGGGAGCCCGCGATGACGGTCAGGCGAGCCTTGGTGGTCTCCGAGCCTCCTATTTTGGTGCACTTCATTCCTACCAAGGCCAAGATGGCCCCGAAGAACCCCAGAATTATGGCGGCAATCATCAGACCCCGACACACCTGGATGTAGACTTCATGAGAGAGACGGAGAAGAGGGGCGCGTGCTTTAAACTAGTGGATCCCAAACAATTAGAATTTCACTTAATTTAAACAATTTTAGAGGTCAGAAGAGGTGAAAGTATTCAACTTACAGTAAAAGAGTAGTTCCTCATTAGACACACTTATACACTTGTTGCAGAGGGTTAAATGAGTAGATTGATTACACTTTAATTCATTAATTAAATGTGAAGCTACAGCCAGCAGCTGGTTAGCTTAGCATAACAACTAGAATCTTGGGGAAACAGCTAGCTGGACTCTGTCCAAAGGTAACAAACCTCTATAGTTCCCTAATGATTAGAAACCGGAAAAAACACAAGCTAAGCTAAGCTAACAGTCTCCTAGCTGTAGCTCCATGTTTAGCATGAGGGTGGTATCAATCTTCTCTAAATCTCAGCACTAAAGTGAAAAAGCCTTCTTTTCCAAAACGTCAAACTATTCTCATTATATTCTTAAGAGCTGAAAGAATCCAGTGTTCCACTTACTTTAACTATTTTTTGGGACTGACGACGGTTGTTTCTGCTGCCCTCAAGTTGTCCGGAAAAAATTGTCATTGCAGGGTTAAAGGTATTTTACATATTTTTGGCCAGCAGAGGTGAAAGAATCGAGCATTTCACAAGAAAAAAAAAAGCTTTGAAATAAGCAGAACCTGTTTTTTTTTTGTTTTTTTTTAATCATCTCGTGACCCCTCAGATTTATCTTGGGACCTTTTGGGAACCTTCCCTAAAAACCAAGGTGCTTGAAGGTAGAAGGACGGAAGTTTAAAGGAGTTTAAATTAGCACTTAAATGAAATACATTTTATTTTCTCAGCAGTCAGTGACAACAGATAAGATGTGGTACCTCTGAAACAATTTTCAAACAGTTTCAACTTCAAGACTTTAGAATGATCGCATGTACAAGCAGCACCTGTCCTTAATGGGGAGAGACCAGTGACCTCTGTGTGACTCTATGACTTTCTCAGATTGCTTCATTCGGACACATTAGGAGGCTGAATGAGTCCAGCTCGGCTCATTAACTGAAATATGCCTCTGGTGGCCTTTAGCTTTAAATGTTGTGGCCTGAAGTCAGAGTCAGAAAAGGAAATATCAAGTTCCAACCGCAATGTTGGTCATTCACCCGAAAACAAACGGGTGTTTTGAGCATCAGTGCTTAGGTCAGATGGATAAATCTCTGCCGCCTGACCTCAGAAAGACAACATTGCACACTTCTATAGCAACCACAGTCTCCCAACTCACCAGCCAGCGCCAGCATCGAAGGGAAGTCCTTGCAGTTGGACACCCCGGTGGAGTCGGTCACACACGTTTTCCATAGGTTAGACCAGAATGTAGCTGTGGTGATGACCGTCCCGTCCACAGAGGACACCTTCCAGTAGTCTGTCGGCAGGGTGGACGACTCCAGGATCCACCCGGAGATCGTCAGGACGAAGGCAACGATCTCTGTTGCCATGTTGGCCATTTTTTTTTTTTTCTCCCCCCCCTCCGTGGCTCGGAGGTCCCAACTGGGACACAGGACGGAGATCTTTCCCTCAGGAGTGTTCACAGAGAGGAGGCGGAGGCGGGTCGGCCCCCGAGGCCAGGTGCGTCAGAATTCTGCTTGTTGTCCACCTGCCAAGCATCTACGCCAGAGAGCGGGTACTTTTAAAGTGCATATCCTTCGCTGACACACAATCGGTTGCTGTATATTGTGTGTTTTGTGTGTGTGGTGGGAGGCGCACACGCTAGACATCACTCCACACGGTGTGCGTAGGGTCTGCAAGGGGATCTGCAGGAGGAGGAAGTCTTTAATTGGAAGGATCTGAAAAGTCTTTGACAGAGAAGGAACACAAGATGAGAAGCAGAGATAGGAGAGTTTTGTCTGGTGGATTGACCGAATGAATGAATGAATGATGTGTTTTTTCATCTCAGTTCAGTGTGGATTCTTATCACAATGCGGCACCACAATTAAGCAATCCAGCAGCAGCACTATGTAAAAGCAGTGCAACTGGTTGGAATATTATTCCATACTGGTTTTACAGCATTACAGCTCCATCAAGTGGCAGAAAACAGATCATGTGTTTAAGTAGGTACTTTCCTATTACTCTGAGTTTTATCTATTTTTTATTTTGTCTGTGTTTGTTTTCACATTCTGTTCTGTGCTGGTGCTCTTTGTTCTCTCAACAGCACACTTTGTGATTAAGTTGAAATGTGCCTGTAGAAGGATGACATGATTTGAGTTAATACTGTAACGAAACAAATCGGAGAAGTCAATGTAATCTAATAGAAAATAGCCCCGCGGGCTGGATTACTGTATGACACCACAACATTTCGTGGCTTCCGGTCTGTCCTGGTGCTGTGCCAGCTCCCTAAGGGCTGCCGAGCCCGTGGCGAGCTTTAAATGGGGATGCAAAGAGTGACACCGCGGTGAGTCAGAGGAAGAACTAGTCCCTGAAATGCAGCCGTAAACTTTCAAGTAAAAAGATAGCATGTTGAAATGTTAAGGCCTAATCGGTCCTCTGAGCAGAATGATGCAGCGAGCCAGGTACTAATTAATTAAATTCCTAATCTCGGACTGGAAAACTGTGTTGTGCCTTGGCGACGGGTACGGTGTTCCCACAGTCGGCGCTCCTGGAAAACTGAACCCAGGTGTTTTAAAGTCTGCAATTGACGGTGAGAAGGTGCTGAGAACACTGTTGCGTAAATCTCTGGATATTTGATGCCTTGATGTGTTTCCATGGCCGCTGTTGCTGGGCAATCTCAGATGGGGACCTTAATCCTGTAGATCTGCGGATGGAAGGGAGGCAGCTGGAACAGATTGTTGTCTGTGTTATCCTGTTGATGACATCCCATTAATAAGATCTGCAAAGTCTCCTGTCACCTCTGTCTTCCATCTTTTATCTGTTTCATGCTGTTTGTAAAAGTAAAATCTGCACCGTCATGTTGTGTCTTTTGACATTTCCAAACTACTCGCATTCCCATCGGCCTCAGCTCTACTTTGTGTTTTAGCATGCTAACACGCTAAACTAGGCATTAGCTGGACATTTTGTTAAGCATTTAGTCTTTTGTCATTGCGCGCAAACTCGCTAACAGCTCCAATTGCCTCTCGTGGTGTTAAAGCAGGACTATGTAAGCTTAACTTTTTGTTCACTGTAGAAGTCTATGACTTGACCTCTCCTGTCACCTCTGTCCGTCATGTTTTGATGCTGTTCGTAAAAGTCAAATCTGCACCGTCATGTTGTATCTTTTGACATTTCCATACTGTGTTGCATATACACGCTCCTGATGAAGACGGTTGAATTCACTACTGTTTTCACACAACGCTACTTCTAACAGTTCAGTTCATCTGGCACAAAACAACATGACGCGTCTTGTAAACCGTAATTTAAATCCAACGACGTGAGCGCTTCTTCCTTTGTGCTCGTTGAAGGGGAGAAAAGCAGGCCTATCGCAGGACCGGTAAAGCATGGGAAAGCGGTGTTGATCCCCCGCAGTTGATGAATGTTATTGGGCCAAGTTCAGCTGCTTGTAATAATCTCCTGCTGGCTTCTCTCCTTCAGCCCTTTTCCCAGCCGGTGCTAGCGAAACATCAACTGGAGGATAACCCGTGAGGTGTGGGGGCCAAGGCCGCCCCATGTCTGTTATCATTAGCTCACGGTTTGCCTTGGATGCACGTGACAATGTGGATTTCTTTGAAAGTTTTCTAGAACACTGAAATGGGAGAAGCAGGGTAAAAGGAGTTTATTGCCCGGAAGGAGAGGAGGGGTGTTTTACTCTCTCACTCTCTCCCAGGTGTTTTATTTCAGTGCAGGAAACGCATACAGTGTGTGAGAGGGCATCTGTCATCCATAGCCTGCTCTTTATTTATAGGATATCCGTGTCTGTGTGTGTGTGTGTGTGTGTGCACAGCTTTTCACTGTGTGGATCGAAACAGGAAAAACCAGAGGGCAAGCAAACAAAAATGATCCTGAACGGGATATGCTCTGCTTTATTTCCTTTACCATGGACAAATTATGATTAGAAATGACTCTAATCATGAATAATCTGCGGTAATAAATCACAGACTTCATTGCTTACCACCACACAGGTGTGCGTCGTTTCCTTATCGACAGTGGTGCACGTTTATGTCCTTACCGCAAGATAGTCAGTCGTTCCGACAATTTTGAAACTTTGAGGGTGAGAGAGACTTTGCCGAGTCATTCTGATAAGCAGGCCTCACACTCACAGGACCTTTACTCGGGCACCTTTGGACTGTTATAAACACTACATTTTTTACCGTCAATGGTGATTTCACCATAAGACAACTTGAGCAGATTTGTATCTCGGTTCCCTTTTTGAAATATAACGCAACATATAAAGAATACCCCTTTGTAACAATTCATATAGAAGCGTATGTATCTGAAAGTGGTTTTATGTACGTTTTAAACTCCCTATAAACACATTTTCTCCCCTACTTAGGGACCAGGACTTTCAAGTTTTGCTGTTAAATATTAAATAGTTTATTTCTATATCTTCACCAGGCTTCCTTATGATGTTGTAATCTGACTGTAAATGTAGCCCCATTCTGACATCCTCTCTGACATTTTCCCCAAATAAATCAAGGTAAATATGACTCAAATTAGTTTTTGATGAAAACCCAGCTAATTGTACGGGTCGGAACCAGTCGCGTGAACGCAGAGGAGGAGACAGAGTCAAGCGCGTGGGCCGAACATTATCTTTCAGCCAATCAGTATCTCCGGGGCGGGGCTATTCGACATTTTTATGATTTTTTTTTTATATTTTTTGTACGACTCCCGGTACCGTTACCTCGTGTGCTGAAAGGAACCACGTAACACGCACCTAAGCCGACAGAAATGCGAGACGAGAGCGGAGGGAAGTTACGCCACGCAGTCCGGAGCGACCGTTTTGTAAAGGGGGGGGAAGTTGAAAGGGAAACCACCCTGCGGGTGCAGGTCCCACCATGGGAGAAGTCAGGAAAACCAAGACTAACCCGGCAGCGACCGCGAACCTATTGTCCACGGTAGTTTTCTGGTAAGTCGACAGAACGCCTCGGATGGGAACCGCAGCTAGCTTCTGTTAGCGGGCTATTTAAAAAAAGTGTTGCAAAATGTTTGGTCTTCGTTGTCCTCAGTGTCATGAACGTATGACTAAGTTATTATTAACGGGAAACAACCATAAGTGAGTAGGTTCCTGTCAGCTGCTTTGGTTACTGAAGGTTTTTAGAAGAAATGGTCACGTGTGTCATCTCTCTGTAAAACACGTTGGTCGCTGCTGACATCATACTCGTTATCGAAACAGGTTAACTGCTGGTATTGTTGACCACATGGATCACCCTTAATATGTAAAGAACTTGAAGTGACACCATTTAATCAAATGCATCCGACAAGTGTGCATTCATGGCTGCAAGTGCAAATTTTTAAACACTGTGCTCATCTCTGTCCAACTCCATGTTCTCCCCCCTGACTCCGCCGATCGTTTCTCCGTCAGGTGGCTCAATCCATTGTTTCGCATCGGATACAAACGCAAGCTGGAGGAAGATGACATGTACGAAGTGCTCCCGGAGGACAGGTCGGAGAGACTGGGACAGGAACTGCAGAGGTAGAGAGGTCCTCCAAAATCATCTCCGGGCATGTAATCTATTACCGTAGTACACTGTCACAAGTTGTTTGCAACTTGGCATCTGCACAGGATTCACGTCACCGGTATCTTAACGAAACACTAACTTAAGATGAGTAGAAGTACATTATCACTATGTTATTATCGGTTAAAATGCAGTTGAAGAGCTCAAATCCAGAGCTGTTGAAAGAGACAAAACGCTCAGTCGTCACGTGATTCACACAGACTTCAGCACGTTTGCGATTTCGAAAAATTGCGCTCTATTGCGACATGGAATTAGAATTTGATTAGTCATTCATCCCCAGTAGGTTGCAGTTGCAGGTTGCAATAACGTCCGTTTTCGACCCTGAGTCATACATTTCCTGGATCGTCAGGCGGCCGCCGTACACGGTTCACATTGTAATGTTTAACTTCAGCAGACGGACAATTTGTCAAACAGGTTAATGATTCAATGTGTGAACTTAACTCTGTTTCGTAAAGCCTCGTGTTTTACAACACATGCAGTGCAGTTTGGGTCCAGCTTCTGAACACAAACGCACACACCCCCGAAACAAGCCCCTGCGAGGCAGCCAAAGATGCACTGGTTGTGTCAAATTTTGAAGTAAAAGTAATCCTCTTGGGTCTGTTGTTTAGTCTAGAAATGGACCGCACGGGGCCCAGTTTTTGAATTTGACACACAGCTCTTGGTTACTTGGTTGTTTCACGGTCTGTATTCGAGCAAGGCTGTTCAGTAGTAATCCAACATCTCATCGTCGGCCATTTAACTGACAGTGAAATCTGAAATTATCGGTCAACAAATGGGCGTAAAATCCCGCCCTCGAGGACTGCCTGCTCTGTACCAGTTGGTCTGTATTCATGCACAGTGCGAGTCAAACTGTTCAAAAAGAATCTTGTGTCAACACTGTTTTTCCAGTGATTTAGATGCAATCTGTTCATAGAGCTTTGTTGTGTTATTGTGTGTACACAATGTGTATCAAACAGCTTCTTCCTCTGTGCCATAGACCTCCGTTGTTAAAACACATCAATGCTCGATTGCTGCCTCACAGGCTCTTATGACACAATAAGAAAACATCACATAACATGGCGTCTTTATACGGCAGATACTGGGATCTTGAGCTCCAGAAGTCTACCAAAGAGCTGCGCACGCCGAGCCTCTCAAAGTGCATCGTTCAGTCCTACTGGAAACCATATGCAGTGCTGGGATTCTTTACTCTCATTGAAGTAAGTGTTTGACGCTTTGGGAATGAGGCGTATGATCTCTGAAATCATTTTAGATGCAAATATTCAACCCAAAACTAAAGAAACAAATATTTAAATGTGCATATCGTTGTCCCGTGCATCCTTGTAATTAGTGTGTCATGATGCTTATCAGGAGGCCATCAAAGTGATCCAGCCCGTCATCTTGGGGAAGATGATCCTGTACTTTGAGAATTACGACCCGCAGAACTTGACGGCCCTCTACGATACGCTCGGCTACGCGGCCGCCATGTCTTTGTGCACCATCGGCCTGGCCTTGCTCCACCACCTCTACTTCTACCACGTCCAGAGGACGGGCATGAAGATCCGAGTGGCCATGTGTCACATGATCTACAACAAGGTCAGTTAGGTGGGGACAACTTGCTTGTGCTTCTTAAAGGAGAACATAACAGCTCTGATCTTCATTGAACGCTGCTCATTTCAAATTGCAGATCTGTACAGCATGTAGCTCCGGTAGAATGGACAGTGTTTGTGATATTTTAAATACAAGTGTTCGTGATTCCTCACTAATGATTCCTGTATTTTTCTCTAGGCTCTGCATCTCAGCAGTTCAGCCATGGGAAAGACCACCACGGGCCAGATCGTCAACCTCCTTTCCAACGACGTCAACAAGTTTGATGACGTATGTGAATTTTAAGTCTCTTAGAGGGGGGGGAAGCAGAAGGGTTGCTATTTTCATTTTGCAGGTCACCACTTATGAAACATCTGAGTTCTGGATACGGTTATAGCTGCAAGATGAGTTGGTTTGATGGGTGTGGTTAGAGTCTCATGGCAGCACCGCATTCCCTCCAAAACACCCTTCTCTCTCAGCTGAAGGCTTTGTGGCACCAAACCCGCTTTGTCTCGCTGGAGTGTTGCGTTTGGTTTTAATTAGTGAGTCAGAGGCCGCTGTTAAATCTGTACTTTCTTGAGGGCATTTAGTTTCTTGGCACTGGCCTCTTTATTGAACCCTGTCACGCTCTCATGCAGGTTTTAGGCTTTTGAAAGTAACCCGTCCTGTACAAACTGGCGAGAGTTAAGCAGACACGTGACCCGAGTGATCACTGAAGTAGTTCCGTCCTGTTCTTGCACATTTCTTTCTTTCTTTCTTTCTTCTCCTCATTCACAGTGAGTTGTCCACAACAGGTGACTATCTTCCTGCACTTCCTGTGGGTGGGGCCCCTCCAGGCAGCGGCGGTCGTGGGCCTGCTGTGGGTGGAGATCGGCCCGTCGTGCTTGGCGGGCATGGGGGTCCTCATGTTCCTGATGCCTGTGCAGACCATGTTTGGAAGGCTCTTCTCCAAGTTCCGGTAACACACACACACACACAGTCAAGCTGAGACCTGCAATGTACAATGGTTGTGTAATATATAAAATCAGATAAAAAGACAGGTTAGGCACTGTCGTCGCATTGGTCGAACCTGATTTGAGTTATTAATAGCTTTAAATGGAAGTAGCTGTTGTCATTGCAGTTTTGTAATATATATAAACTGCGTAGGAATTGGTGCACGTTTGCGATCACACAACCTCATTTTGAAAGTTTGCCAACGTCTCTTGGGTTTTCCAGCAGCATTTTAAGCAAACGCACGTTTTCTACTTTCCTTCACAGGAGTAAGACGGCCGTCCTCACTGACGACAGAATCCGCATAATGAACGAGGTGGTGTCTGGAATGCGGATCATCAAGATGTACGCCTGGGAGAAGCCCTTCGCCACTCTGGTCTCCGAGGTCAGAAGGTAAAAGCGTCACAGGCTTCTTAGGATGTTTTTAGATCAAAGGAAGCGTTTAAAGAGCCACTGGCTCACCAAACTAATCTGTTTCATTGTTGGAATGCTGTTAAGCATTCCAACTATTGTTATCCTGTTTCTCTTTATTCAACTTCTTATATTTCTTCCGCCCATATTTTGCTACTTAACTCCTTCCACATTTTTTAAGCTACAGAAACCGTTCAACTATCAAAATGTTCAGCTCATTAAGGACACGTGTGCTATGACTTTTCATATTTCTAACCTTTAAACTTTTTGAATTATTAAGCTTTTTGCAATTTTTTTTTTTTTTGAATGTGTTTCTATGGAGAAAATGTTCAAATCCTCTTCAACTTTCAAATCCTTCAACTTCCTCATACTTTCAGCTACAGACACCATTTAAACTTTAAAATGTTGAGAAAACCCTGATCTATTGCCGCATTATTCAGCTTTTTGATATCTTTTATACTTTTTGAACTGTCCCATTTTAACTTTTATGATTTCTTCACTCCTTTTCTGACTTTATAATGGGTGTGTATTGCGCAGTTTAGAGTGCGTGATGTCACCGCTAGAGTGAAGAGCAGCTTGAGATTCTTGTGAAAAAAACATTTGTATTTTGCCACTGTGTCCACAATCTTCACTCTTCATGCATAATTTCTGGATGTAAAAGTAGCTAATCTTGTCCTTGTCGTAGACAAATGACTGTGGAATCCCACAAATTTACACATTTGGCACAGAAGCCTGTAATTGAGAGGAAAACCAACTTTCTGCTCCATAGACACCAATGTTAAATTTTGCTTCAAAAACATCTTCCACGGAACACGGTACCCCATTTCTAGATCGCCAGTTCAGCCACATTTTTTTACACTACAGACACAATTTTTACAGGATCTGTTCTTCAACTCATCCTTCCTCTCATTTATTAATATCGGAGCAATAGGAGCTACGGTTATGGGAGTTTTGAGGATTTGTTTGAGAGGTGTTGGGGGCAATTGTGGCTAAGTGGATAGCAGGGCCGTCTTTCAATCAGAGGGTCGGCGGTTCGAGCTCCGCTAGTCGCATGTCGATGTGTCACTTAACCCCAAAATTGCTCCCGTAGCTATGCCTACGGTGTAGAAATGTGATAGACTCTGAATTGTAAGTCGCTTTGGATAAAAGCGTCTGCTAAATGACTGTAATGTTATGCTATTACTGCTACCATCAATATTATTACTACCACTATTACTTATACTACAACTGCTACTACTACTACTGCTATTCATGCTACTAAAAGTAGTAATACTACTACAGCTATTAGTACGACTGCTACTAGTACTACTACTACTGCTACTTCTTCTACTGCCATTACTATTACTACTATAACTACTTCTACTACTACTACTGTTATATTAAATACTACGACCAATACTACAGCTATTACTATGACTACTGATACTACTTCTTCTACTACTTCTTCTAATTACTAATACTTCTACTACTAATAATACTTCTACTACAACTACAACTTCTACTACTACTACAAATATCACTACTGCTGACATTTTTTAAGCCACAGAAACCATTTGAATATAAAGATGTTCAGCTCTTTCAGGAGAGGGGTGAAATGACTTTTCATATTTGTAATCTTTAAATTCTTTGCAATATTAAGCTATTTGCAATTTTCTTTTTAATGGGATCTCTATGGAGAAAATCTTCAAATCCTGTTAAACTTCTTCAACTTTCAAAGCCTTCTTCTTCCTCATACTTTCAGCTACAGACACCATAGTTAGACATTTCAACAAGAAGGGTTTTCAGCAGTGCAGTTTAAATGCTTTCAGGCTTCAACATCTTTCAGACGGGTAGTCTCCCATTTCTTCATTTTCAGCAATTTTTTTACAATTAATTTCAGCTTTCAGCATTCCAATGCATTTTCAGCAGGAAATGCATTTTCTAGTTTATCTTATTTTGCTAAATGTGTGATGGTTTGTGGTCTTGCCGCCCGCTCTTAATGCCATTAGTTGCAGTAAATGTTGTTAATAGCAACAAGCAACAGGTGTTTTCAGTCCCAGTGAGCCTGCAGGCTTATTACACAGTGGTAGAAACCCTGAGTACTGGTCCTGTTCTCATTGGATTGAGCCACTACAAGCTGTGTTAAACATGAATGAACATGTATTGTTAGTGATTCTGTTTGACAACGCTGCCTATGATTCAGGTTGTGCACTAGTGGCATGCTGTTCCCGACGCTCCCTATAAGTGGTTGTTGGAACTTTCTGTGCCCTCTCAGGAAGGAGATCTCCAAGATCATGAAGAGCTCGTACCTGCGAGGCCTCAACATGGCCTCCTTCTTCTGCGCCAGCAAGATCATCGTCTTCATCACCTTCACCCTCTACGTCCTCCTGGGCAACACCATCACTGCCAGCCGCGTGTTTGTGACGGTGTCGCTGTACACCGCCGTGCGGCTCACCGTCACGCTCTTCTTCCCGAGTGCCATCGAGAAGCTGTACGAGACCCGAGTCAGCATCCGCAGGATTCAGGTGCGATTTGATACGGTTTGATTTAGTTTTGGGATTTTAGAACAATGGGTTTCAGTTAGCGTGGTGTTCAAGGTCTTGCCGTGTCTATAGGAAAGCCAAGAAAACGCTGCAGCTCTTTGTGATATCTCAGTTCAGGCTGCTGACCTCTTATCTGCTGATGTCACATGGCTCTAATCTGAAGGTCCAGCTCTGTAAAGCCACAATCTTGTTTTTTATAGAGTTAACGTGACATGTACTTGTAAACCAGCTAAACTTGTACTTAACATTACCTAATGATTTACCCGACCCCTTCTGTGTTTTTAACTTTAATTTATTTGTTTTTGTGGTCAAGGAGTTCCTGATTCTGGATGAGATCGTAAAATGCAAAGCTGAACTGCCACATGATGAGAAGGACGCCTCAGTGGAGATCCGGGACCTGGTCTGCTACTGGGACAAGGTCAGATACTGTTTCTGACGGAAGCATTCGTCACACATGATGTGTTCAAGGACCGTGAGAAAAAGGAAAATCCGCCCATTAATGATGTTTTTTTTACAGCTTCTGGCTGTGAAAAATGGTGCAGATTTTGCGATCATGTTAAGAAAACGTGCTTTTCAATCCTGCCGGTGGGTTTTGGGTTCAGAGGGTTAACAAAATGGTTTGAACATTTTTTACCCCGGCCCAACGAGACAAGCAGAAACGGTATAGTTTGTATATGTTTGTAATGTTGTGTAGAAACCTGATTTATGCTTTAATGTTTGAATGTGTTTTGAACCCCTGCAGAGTCTGGACGCTCCATCTCTGCAGAACCTCTCCATCAGTCTGAAGGGCAACCAGTTGTTGGCCGTGATTGGACCAGTGGGAGCTGGAAAGGTCAGATATCTACTCGCGTCATCGTTTCAGATTTAGAAAACTCGAATAAGAAGCTCGGGTAGTTCGTGTGCACTTTCCACGTCTTGCCTTTTCTCGTATTCATCCAGTCGTCGCTGCTGAGCACCATCCTCGGAGAGCTGCCCAAAGAAAAGGGGGTCCTGGAGGTGAAAGGTCAGCTGACGTACGCCGCCCAGCAGCCCTGGGTGTTCCCCGGAACCATCCGCAGTAACATCCTGTTTGGGAAAGAGCTCAACCACCAGAAGTACGAGAGAGTCATCCGAGCCTGCGCTCTAAAGAGGGTGAGCCTTCATTTGATGAATACCTCCATTACACGAATCTGCAGGACACAAAGTACTTGTTCAAATGAGATAACGGACTGACTCATTACATGCTAAATTCATTCATTCCAGCCATTAAAAGTATCTTGCTTATGTTCTAAAGATATTTGTAAGATTTAGATCAGGGCCTTTGTGGTGATACATGGATATTAAGCGACATAAGCCGAGGCTATGACCGATATCGGCCTGGAGGCAAACTGTATTTAGCGACAGTGTTATACACAAAGGCATCCCGCAGCAGAGGCCCAGCTGAAGACTGCTGAGGATGGTTACAAATGTCCTCATGTTGCATCGAGGCTTCGCGTTAGCACGGTGTCCCAGCTGGTTAGATTTCCCAAGCGTTCATAGCACCAGAGGTCGACCTATGATTCGGTCTGTGTAACCTAGCGAGAGGAAAGGTAACCAGTTAATGAATCACTTGGGACTCCTGTGATTCTGTCCACTTATATCTGAATCTAAGCTCACCTCTGACACAGAGCAAACACACTCATCATTGTCTTCGATTGTACCTTTCATGTCTGGCACACACACACACACACACACACAACCTTGGACTTCTGTCTTTGTGAGGGCACTCCTTGACCATAATGTATTCCCTAGCTCCTTACTCTAACCTAAACCTACTATTAACCTGAACCTTAAAACCAACTCTGTCCAAAAGTGAGGACCAGCCAAAGTGTCCTTAATCTATTAGTCCTCACAAAGATAGCTGAACTAGTACACACACACACACACTCCCTCTAATTGAAGCTTATCTAGAAGCATAAACCAAGTCCATCTTGTTATACGCGGTACGTAACGAGCCCGGCGGTGTTAAAGTAAGAACAGCAATATGCTGACTCACTGGGTGTTATCCTGTTATTGTCCGCTTGTGTATATGTGTAATTTGAAGCTGTTTTTTTAACTACCCGGGGGGATTACATGAGGGTGAGAGAAAAGCTAGATTTGACCTGTAGAAACCGGCTTTCTTGGCCCTGAATAAGCCCGATTTTTGTGTGTGTATTTGCATGACACAGGCAGTGCTGTGACATGTTTACTGTTATTAAACTAAGCTTTTACTTTAGTTTAAAACGTAAACTAATGCTTTTCCATTATCTGCCGATTGTTCGATTAATTGTAGAAGTAAAGGTTTAATGGTGTTGTCTATGAAATGTCAAATTGGGAAAAATATCCGTCAACAAAATAAACATTTTCTGATGTGGTAAATTATTTCAGGACCAGTTCAAAACCCAAAGATATAAAACAACTCGGGAGCCTTTTGTGTGCACCAGTGTACTGTGATGTGTGTGTTATCCCACATTACAAACCTATTTACACATGCTTGATAAGATACAAATGCAAATGTGAATTGTCAACGCCTGTGTTATGCACACGGTTATCTTTGCTGCGTGACTTCATCAGGCTCAGCCCACTTATACAGGACACTTTGAGGGTTCATTCAACCCTTACACAGAGCTAGAAATATCTAGAAACATTCTAAAAGTCTGACGTTATCTATACCAAAGAACTACATTTACAAGATTTCATTTGAACACATCATATAATCTACCTCACGCTCAATACTCAATATGGCCACAATCCAGCACATTGACCACACAAGTTCATTGTGATCCCTGTTCTGCTGGTGTAGGACCTGGAGCTGCTCCCAGACGGAGACCTGACTCTGATCGGGGACCGAGGAGCCACACTCAGCGGGGGACAGAAGGCTCGAGTCAACCTGGCGAGGTAAGAGGACAGTCCAACACTGACAATAACCTGAAGGCTTTTACTCTGTGAGGATTAGAAAAAGGCATGACGACTTGTATATATTTTTATTAGTACAAAATATTGCCACTAAGCAGAATATATAAGCAAAGACTGTGTGACATAATGTACAACAAGATTAAAGTTGAGATCATATGTTTTTGAGCACTTTTATTCAACATCATCATGACGACAGCGGTTCAGAGCAGCTTACTTGCTTTATGAAATGATCCATCAACACACAGAAACAGTAAATGATACAGACGGAATCTCAGCGAGTCATCCAACGGCAAACGCCAATTCTACACATCAAAGTGTGGTTCAACGCACCCGAGTTGCATTGTGGGTAACGTCGGCGCCAGGCTATTATTTCAAGCGTTCCTCTTTGTCAATCATCCTGATTTTGATCTATTTCTATAGCACATTTAATACACAGGACATTCAGTGTGCTTTACATAAATGAAGATGGAATATGATCAAAAGATAGTACAAAGTACATCAAATACTAACTAAACAGAATAAAGACATTGTAAAAACATTTAAATTAATATATTTATATGCCTTTTTAAAGTTGATAAAGATAATAAGTACAGATATTTGTGTTATTTATATTCAGAAATATCGAAACGTATGAGAGGACGCCAGCATAAAAGCTGGTGTGGTTCTTCCTGCTGTCGGTAACACCAGTGTGTGTCTTCAGGGCGGTGTACCAGGACGCAGACATCTACCTCTTGGACGACCCTCTGAGCGCCGTGGACGCCGAGGTCGGCAGACACCTCTTTGAAAAGTGAGTGATTGTTAAGAGGTCCATCAGTCTCATGTTCCCGTACCAGAGCAGCAGGAGAAGGTTCGACACGCTGTTGCACCGCAGCACAGGGGCTTTATCTGATCTACCGAACAGGAATATACTGGAGCGCTGTGGTCCACACCCTCCGGAGGAGAGCTTCAAAGCTGGAACGGGAAGCCGTCAGCGTTGGATCTCAGCGGGAGAAAGTTCCTGTAAAAACTTGCATTATTCAATAAATACTGAAGCCAGAAAGACAATTGAAGTCGGCCCCACTCTTCCTGTTGGACTCTCCCGCTTGCATACCACAGTCCCACTACAGCTACAGTACATCGACTTGGGATTAGTTTCTCCATCTAATCATTAGACGCACAGTATTACAGGTTAGTGCTGAATCCTGAGCCGTTCTCTGCTCCATGTCCATGAATCAGGTGCATCTGTGGCCTCCTGAGGAACAAGCTTCGGATCCTGGTCACCCACCAGCTGCAGTACCTGAAGTCAGCCGACCAGATTGTGGTACTCAAGGAGGTTGGTATTCATACAGTAAAGTAAAATAGTCCCCATGTACTCGGAGATGTAACCCTTATGCCTCACTGGGGACATTCAATGCATTCTACAGACCCGGGGCCTCATTACAGGAACATGTCCTGGCTGCTTGTCCTGTTTTAACTCGAGTCTTGGGAAGACTTCCTGGTACAAAGTGTGTGTTTGTGTTGGCAGTGGTGATGTAAACAGACACACAGGTGCGGAGTATCCTAACTGTGTGTGTGTGTGTGTGTGCGTATCAGGGTCACATGGTGGCAAAGGGGACGTATACGGAGCTGCAGCAGTCCGGACTGGACTTCACCTCCCTGCTGAAGGAGGAGGAGGAGGAGCAGCCGCCTCCTCAAGACCTCCTGATCAGGACCAGAACTCTGTCTCAGAACTCGCAGACCTCCTCCATCCAGTCGGTCAAAGACGGAGACCAGCTACCGGTTTGTTCTTCATCTTTTCATGTGACCCACACACCCCAATGACCTTTACTGAATGGTTAGGGAAGAATACAATTCATTAAGAGTGTCAGTTGGTCCTGCGGTTTGTAATCATGCTGTGTGATCAAGAGTTAATCCGCTGCTGTCCACACAGGCAGAGACGGTGCAGACGGTAGCAGAGGAGAGTAGCGCTGAGGGAAACATTAGAGTGAGTCTGTACGTCAAATACCTGAAAGCTGGAGCCAGCGTCGTGGTTCTGCTCATCGTCATACTGGTGAACCTTCTGGCTCAGGTCAGTTCATTTCACTGTTATTTCTTGTTCTACAGTTCAGTGAGGACGTAATAGAGTTAGCTGTCCTCTCTGCATTGAGATTCAGAGAAACATTGAACTATAGCCTGTTTGTTTATCCTCTAGGTATCGTACATCATGCAGGACTGGTGGCTGGCTTACTGGTAAGTTTGAAAACCACTGAACATTAATCATCAGCGTTGCTTTCATTGTTTTTATGTAACTTGGGAACATCTTGACTGATCAGGGCTGAGGAGCAAGAGAAGCTGAACGATAACAACAGCACCGTCATCCAAAATGGACTGAATGCCACCGCAGAGCTGAACACCACCTTCTACCTGGGTGTTTATGGAGGTAATGTGACAGCATGTGTTGTACTGTGTGTACTGTGTGCTATCTCAGAGGTGTAAAGGAGAGCATTCTGCTGTTTGTCTCTACAGGTTTGACTGTTGCCGTCATCATTTTCGGCTTCCTCAGGAATATGCTCCTGTTCCACGTGCTGGTGAAGAGCGCACAGTCTCTGCACAACCGCATGTTCACGTCAATACTCGCGACACCGGTGCGCTTCTTTGACGTCAACCCCATTGGTGAGTTCAAACATTACAGATAGCTAATATATAAGCTGATATTGGTAGTGTTCTGGGCATATTGACTCAAGTTATTCCTCTAACACTATTTTACACTTTGTATTTTCCCCGGTCATCTTTGAGTTCAGTGTGTAGTAGAGAAACAAGGAAAAGGAATGTACTGCTGTGGACGGATAAATCATGAAAGACATCAGAAGATTATCCACTAAACGTTATCGTTCCATAGTATGATATTCTATATATTCTCTCACCTCAGGAAGAGTCTTGAACCGCTTCTCAAAGGACATCGGCCAGCTGGATTCTAACCTGCCGTGGACGTTTGTGGACTTCATTCAGGTGAGGAGGAACTTGACAGCAGAAGAGCCTCTTGGTTATTCAGTACAGCAGCGCATGGTTGGGTTCAAGATCATTGTATGAAAGTTATTTAAAATGAGACGGCTGCTGCCACTCAGACATATTTGAATAGTGTGTCATCCTGTGACACTGCTTGATTCATGGCTGCAGCCCGACAATCAACTAACAGTTCCCCAATCCTTAAAATAACCTGCGAGACATTTCTTTGACATGCTTTTTAAACTTGCAGCTGTTCTCTCCCATTGTGGCTCTTTCCATACATGTCCGGTCATGTCTGAAACCAGCATTAGTAACCAGTTTTTCTCTCTGCGCAGGTGTTCCTGCAGATTATCGGGGTGATCTGTGTGGCAGTGTCCGTGATCCCCTGGATCCTCATCCCAGTTCTCCCCCTCCTCCTCGTCTTCATCTACCTGCGTCGATACTTCCTGCAGACCTCCAGAAACGTCAAACGCCTCGAGTCCACCAGTAAGTGTCCCACACAGACCTCATAATGTGTGCGCTGTATGTTAGTGAGTTGTAGGGGCTTTTTGTTGATTGCAGCTTGATCTTCCCTGCAGCTCGGAGTCCAGTGTTCTCCCACCTGTCGTCGTCTCTTCAGGGCCTGTGGACCATCCGAGCCTTTGGAGCAGAGGAGAGGTTCCAGAAAGTCTTTGACGCACATCAGGACCTGCACTCAGGTTCTCCTCAGTACTTTAGATTTACTGTTTTTAAATATGAAGCGTTTGAGTTCGTCCTGTGTTGATGACGCGTTTCCTTTTCTTGAACAGAGGCCTGGTTCCTGTTCCTGGTCACCTCTCGCTGGTTCGCCGTCCGTCTTGACGGCATGTGCTCCATCTTTGTTACCGTCAGCACCTTTGGCTGCCTGCTGCTCAGAGACCGTAAGGAAGACTTTAAATCTAAACATTCAACACTGAACATTTCTGACTTTGTGGTGGACGGCAGTGAAATAAAACCTGGTTCTGTTAGAGCTGGACGCCGGCTCCGTGGGTCTGGTTTTGACCTACTCTGTCACACTGATGGGAATGTTCCAGTGGGGTGTCAGGCAGAGTACAGAGGTGGAGAACATGGTAAGATACTCCTTCTGTCTTTGACTTTATTTACAACTTGTATCTTTAGCTGAAGGATGTGTGTAATTCATTCAGGTGAGTTGGCCTTTCACTAATGTGCATAAAGTGTCCAAACATGTAATTTGTAAAGTTATTAATCACATTTAATGTCTGTTTTGTGTAACTAACAAATAAATAATTATAAAGATGAACCACACATAACAGAAATACACAATGAAATGAATGTGGCCGCTCTCCAGATGACGTCAGTGGAGAGAGTGGTGGAGTACACTGAACTGGAGAGTGAAGCACCCTGGGAAACCCAGAAGCGCCCTCCTCCCGATTGGCCCAAGAAAGGCCTGGTGAAGTTTGACCGGGTCAGCTTCTCCTACAGCAGTGATGGACCGATGGTTCTGCATAACATGACGGCAATATTCCGGCCCAAAGAGAAGGTTGGACATCTTTTGTTTGTCTCCAGAGGACACCATGTTGAAGCCAAGCTGTTCTGCTAAACCAGACTCTTCCTTCCTGTGTGTCAGGTGGGCATCGTGGGTAGAACAGGTGCTGGGAAAAGCTCTCTGGTCTCAGCTCTGTTCCGCCTGGCGGAGCCTCAGGGGAAGATCTACATCGACGGTGTTCTGACCTCTGAGATCGGCCTCCACGACCTGCGCCAGAAGATGTCCATCATTCCTCAGGTAAACATCCGCTGACCTCCTCCTATTGTGTTGAAGCCATAGAAATAAGAACGGAGATTCCCACTTAACAAGTCCTGGATAGTGTGTGCTCGTAGTACCGCCTGTCCCTTTTTATAGTAATAATTTATTTATTTTGTATACTGCTTTTAACGGTTCTTTATGTGGTAAAAACAGCAATAACAATAGCTAAGTATGTATGTATATAATTGGTGCAACGGATCATAGATCAGCACAAAAGAAAACTTGTAGAGATCCCTGATCACCCTTCAACATTTCTAAATCCTTTTTAGAATAAAGTCTCTTAAAGGGCCAGTGTGATATAATAATAACCAAGAGTTTAACTCTGTTCCCCAGGACCCGGTGCTGTTTACGGGCTCCATGAGGAAGAACTTGGACCCTTTCAACCAGCACAGTGATGAAGACCTGTGGAAGGCTCTGGAGGAGGTAAGCATCCACTCGGCTCACAAGAGTTGAGTTTCTAGCTCTCATTGCGTCAGACAGACACTCACTCCGTGTTCCCCCCAGGTGCAGCTGAAGTCTGTGGTGGAGGAGCTGCCGGGGAAGTTGGAGACGGTTCTGGCCGAGTCGGGCTCCAACTTCAGCGTGGGCCAGAGGCAGCTGGTGTGTCTGGCCAGAGCCGTCCTGAGGAAGAACCGCGTCCTGGTGATCGACGAGGCCACGGCCAACGTGGACCCCAGGTACTGCCCAGACGGCTCGCCTCATGATATACCTGCTATATGCCAGTGTTCAGTGGGGGACAGACTCCTTTAATTCGTCTTCATTCATTGTACTCTCTGCAGGACAGATGAGCTGATCCAGAAAACCATACGGGACAAGTTCAGCGAATGCACCGTGCTCACGATCGCTCATCGCCTCAACACCATCGTAGACAGCGACAGGATACTGGTGAGTCAGAGTACCCTGTTAATATAGCAATGCCTTTCAATACTGGCTCAGACATCTCATATGACCCTGAAACACACATGTGGTGCAAGTGTGTAAATAGCAGCAGCTCTAACTTGCCTTGATGTTGGGTGCTTTCAGTGATGCCAATCACAGACCTGAAACAAAATGGCATATTTTGTAAATCCAACTTAAGTTGTTTCACTTGATGGACAAAAAGTAGGCGCTGGGATGCTTTTAACTGAAGATACAACAAATGTGATTTTGTTTCCAGGTTCTAGATGCAGGGAGAATTCATGCCTATGATGAGCCTTACACCCTGCTGCAAGATCCAGATGGGATCTTCTACAAAATGGTGCAGCAGACTGGCAAGCAGGAGGCAGCAGCTCTGCTAGCGGTAGCTAAACAGGTGAGAAACCTCTTTGTACACGTTTTAAAATGTGACGCACTTCTATCTTAAGCCAATCTTACTCTGTAAACGATGTCTTTTCAGGCGTACGACAGCAGGAGCCGTTCTAACATACCAAACGGACATTCAGAAACGGCAGACGGTGAAGTTATGTTTGAGACCGCTCTCTGAGCTCGGGGAGTCTCTGCTTTGCCAGAAGACTTAAAATGTGCCTGGACCCATACTGCGCTCCTCCCTCCCTCCACCAGGTGGCGTCTGAAGAGGCCTCACTGTGGCCTTGGAGCCAAATATATGCTGTTTCCTACAAGCAGAGCAAGCTTGGAACTCACTGTTGAAATAGATCACTATTTATTTTGTATGCTTCATATTTATCTCATGTTAACAAATTGCCTTGGAGAATTACTTTTAAATGGCCGCATACTCCTTACAGAACTGTAAGTGCCTTATTTCCTGTTGGAAGCACTTTGTACATGTTAATTTAACCAATAGTAGCACCTATTGATCACTAAATGTAAGAAAATAAGTCTTTTTTTACGTTGATGTCTTGTTCAAGCTTTACACTTCGTTTTTATACTGTTCACTATGCTGATTGAAAGTTTACAGGTCAGGTGACAATCAGAACACAGCTGCTACAACTGTTCATTTCTGTTCAAATTATTCAACACTTAGTTGTTGTTTCAACTGTCAATTTATCATGTAAAATGCTGTATAAACATGTACAAATCATAATGTCAGCAACTGTCTTAACTTGAATAAAATACTCTGATAAAATTAAACCTGTATGAGTCAATGATGTACAGAACCATATTGTGACAGTTTGCATTACAATTGACATCACATCTGCTGCACCCTCTTTGTTTTGCAGCAGGTCTAACTCTGTCCAGAACCTTAAGGCACAAATGCCCCAAAAAATAAAGTTTTATACATGCTATGACCGTTTTATGATTTTTTTCAAAAAAGTCATAGTATAGCATGTCGAAGGATGATCTTTGTGGGTTTGACATCAACCTCATAATAATCAAATAAAAACACACACACCTCAGGTCTTCCGTCACTCTGATCAGAAAGGATAGTCTACTGTTTGGCTTTGCATGTTAATATTCCACTGCATCTCACAAGTCAAATATGTTCCGAGAAGAGTTCCAAATGCGAAAGGTACTGGTGGCGTAGTAGTGGTATCCTTGGACTAATCATCCTACTTCCATGTACTAAGTGGGTTTGAATCCCGCACGTTACCGCAGTGTCTAGTGCTCTGCCGGGGAGGTGGTGGTGGGAGCATTGTCCCCACCGAAGTCTTGGAGAAATGTAACCAGGGGGTTATGGAAAAATTGACGACGACGACCAGCTGAAATTTAAGAAAGAAAATAAACGATTTGAATTAATACAGTTTTGCTTTATAGTTTGGGTATACTCTTTATTTATATATAGCTTCTTGTGCTGGGATTTAAAATTAACTGAACCACATAGAACACACAACCTCAGGACTTTTAACCCATGTTATATCACTTTGAGCTATTTGACCTTCAACACATTCACACAGTTTCTTAGACCTTTTGGCTCCTCCACATTGGACTTCAAAATCCACTGCACCTCATAAAAAGTCAGTATTATAGTATTTGTGTTTTTCTCATCTTTTTTATTTTCAATCCTACAAATTGTATCCTAAACTATAATGATCGGGGTCTTTTTTTATGCGTTGGGACGTACAATAGTACATCTTGTTAATTTTAAACAACATTTTAAGACTGTGGGCATAAATGAGTTCCCTGCAGGTTGGACAGTCTGAAGCCGTTCACTCTAACACTGAGATCACACTAAACAAACACTGTCACAGTTTGTGTTTGAGGCATTTAAGAACAGACACAGTGGAGAAATATGTGTCGTCAATATTCAGAGTACAGTGCCAAGTATGAATTATAGATGTAATATCCAATGAGGCTACAAGATGGCAGCAAACCAACTTTAAATCACATCAGTGGCTTCATGTTGTGTCATGTACAAATAACATTTTTTTTACCGTTATTCCTCAGGAACCGAGTTTTCAGATCATGTCACACACTGTTGCTGGTATTTTGGCCCATTCCTCCATGCAGATCTCCTCTAGAGCAGTGATGTTTTGGGGCTGTCGCTGGGCAACACGGACTTTCAACTCCCTCCACAGATTTTCTATGGGGTTGAGATCTGGAGACTGGCTAGGCCACTCCAGGACCTTGAAATGCTTCTTACGAAGCCACTCCTTCGCTGCCCGGGCGGTGTGTTTGGGATCGTTGTCATGCTGAAAGACCCAGCCACGTTTCATCTTCAATGCCCTTGCTGATGGAAGGTTTCCACTCAAAATCTCACGATACATGGCCCCATTCATTCTTTCCTTTACACGGATCAGTCGTCCTGGTCCCCTTGCAGAAAAACAGCCCCAAAGCATGATGTTTCCACCCCCATGCTTCACAGTAGGTATGGTGTTCTTTGGATGCAACTCGGCATTTTTACAAATGCTCTCTAGCAAACTTCAGACGGGCCTGGACATGTACTGGCTTAAGCAGGGGGACACGTCTGGCACTGCAGGATTTGAGTCCCTGGCGGCGTAGTGTGTTACTGATGGTAGCCTTTGTTACTTTGGTCCCAGCTCTCTGCAGGTCATTCACTAGGTTCTTGTGATCATTTTGACCCCACGGGGTGAGGTCTTGCATGGAGCCCCAGATCGAGGGAGACTATCAGTGGTCTTGTATGTCTTCCATTTTCTAATAATTGCTCCCACAGTTGATTTCTTCACACCAAGCTGCTTACCTATTGCAGATTCAGTCTTCCCAGCCTGGTGCAGGTCTACAATTTTGTTTCTGGTGTCCTTTGACAGCTCTTTGGTCTTGGCCATAGTGGAGTTTGGAGTGTGACTGTTTGAGGTTGTGGACAGGTGTCTTTTATACTGATAACGAGTTCAAACAGGCGCCATTAATACAGGTAACAAGTGGAGGACAGAGGAGCCTCTTAAAGAAGAAGTTACAGGTCTGTGAGAGACAGAAATCTTGCTTGTTTGTAGGTGACCAAATACTTATTTTACCGAGGAATTTACCAATTAATTCATTAAAAATCCTACAATGTGATTTCCTGGATTCATCCCCCCATTCTGTCTCTCATAGTTGAAGTGTACCTATGATGAAAATTACAGGCATCTCATCTTTTTAAGTGGGAGAACTTGCACAATTGGTGGCTGACTAAATTCCTTTTTTGCCCCACTGTATATAGTAATTATGTCACTGCCATGTTGTATACTTTTTAAAAGACACGACACAAATGTTTTATATAATGTGCTTCAAAATGATAAGAGCCCAAGCAGCTCACATACAATGCATGAACTGATATTTATAATATTTTTGGGGGGGATTCCTCAGATGCAATAAGCAGCAAATACGCAACTAGTGTTAAGAGTTCCTCAAGCAACGTTCTTAGGTCCCTTTAAATAAGTCAGTGATTGTGTGAATGCAGGAGGTTTGACGGATGAATCTGGCCTCACTTTGAGTGAAAACAGAGGCTGCTGGGCCTCACTGAGGGCCGGTTACACCTCCATACTGTGAGACCTCCAGACCTTCAGCGTTTGATTTTCTCACGCTGTCAAGATTGATTATGAGACATTTCCCAAACCACTGGCTGACTCTGATTGGCTTTCCTCACTAAATGAAGTTCTTACAGTCAATATTAATGAATGTTTATAATCAGGAAAAACAATATTGTGTCTCTTACACAGACAATTTCTATTATTTCAGGTTCCAACACAGCTTGATGGAAAATATCACCTGGCTGTGAGGAAGAGATGTAGAACGAGGAAGAAGAAGAAGATGGAGTACAATAAAACGCTGCACTGTTAGGTGAGTTACCGCAACTTCCTGTTTACAGTAAAACAGCTTTACCATGACTGTGCTCCACTGTAGCTATAGTTTACAGTATGATACTTTAAATATGTTCTGGAGTACAATCATGTAATTGTGTTTTAAAGTACACAACTGTAAATATATACACATATTATTTATAGTAGACGGTACAAGTACTGGGCTATGGAGAGGCTCTCTGGAGGTAGAACTCATGTCTGATGTGGGACATGAACATGGTGCTTGAGGCTGATTTAATCTGGTGAACTGGGAGAGGATGAGTTTATTCAGAGGTGACTTTACTCGACCTGGAACCAGCCAGACTTGCTCCTCCCTCCTCTTCCTCTCAGGGATGTGGTCTTCTTCAGGGTCTCCTCTGATCCACCTCTCTGTGTGGAGAAACACTGGAGACAAATACAGCTGCTACCTGAGCATCTGTTTTCAAATATTATATAAAATGTTGTATTTCATAACTGTTCCCCAAATAAAAGATGATCATTTATAATATCTACTAACAGAAATACCTTTGAACCTTTTTACTGAAATGCTTCAAATATAAACCAGTAGCTTTCTGTTTTAAACGCTGATTTATTGTTTTTTTAAGACTCCATAACATGAGTGTAATAAAGGAAAACCTACATAAATATCTCAAGTATTTATTGAGTGCATTTACAACTGTACATTTCAAGTTTTTGTATTTTCATAAAGTACAGACTCAGTCAGCTGCTACCTGGTGAACACAGATGTTCACTTCTCTGCAGCCAGAACTACTGCAGTTTACAGTAAATGAAGTATTTTAATGAGGAAAAGAGAACAAACAGACAATGACCATTATCTCTCTTTGAAAGATCAAACAAAAATAATTCTCATATTTACATTGTTGTTTGTTATTGCATCATTACTTTGAGATGATTAAAGTCTTCTCAGTGTTAAATGAACTAGAACATCATCCCATTATTACACAATACACAAATGATACTGACTCATGATATTGATAGAACAGTTATGGCCTCTACTTGTTATCCCAACGGAACAATTTGATGAATCTCACAGGGTGTCCATCATAAATATGAGCAGCTTAAAGAATAATCCATAATTATCATCGCACCAGCTGACTACTGTAAACACAGTGTTAGTACTTGCACTACACTGATATTATCCAGGTCCAGCTCAGTCAGCCCCTCAGAGAAATCCAGCATCAGGGACAAAGCTCCACAGGCCCTCTGATCCAGTGTGGTGTGACTGAGGTCCAGCTCTCCACCCAGGGCTCCACAGAGGGACACTGCCCGTCTCACTGTGTCCCTCTCACTGTTCACAGGAACCAGGGACAGCAGCTGGAGGACGACGGCTTTACTGGCTCTAAACAGGAGAAACAGAGCAGACTGTTGGGATGAAGAAACATGGAAACTAGCTTCTTCTCTGGTCATTCTGTGGTCTTTCCCACCTGAGGAGGACTCGGTCTAGGACAGGAAACAGCAGGTCCAGTCCGCTGTCCTCCACCTCACAGTCCTGCAGGATGAGCTCTGCTTTCTGGCTGCTGCGTCTCAGGATGGTGGAGACGGCCCTGCAGTCCTCAGCAGTCAGCCTGAGAGTCTTACTGACATCCAGCTCCACACAGGAGGAGCAGGACAGATCCAGCCTGTGCTGCACGGTCCTGAGCAGGTGGACTGCTGCCCCCTGCTGGGCATCAGAGGCAGCACAGCTGTGGACAAACCTCAGCAGCAGTTTCCTGTCAACACTGGAGGAAAAATACATCTAACAATCAAAAATTAAAGGATAACTATGTTTCCTGACAACTTGTACTCTTATTGTTGTAGTTTTCTCCTTCATTTCTATCAGTCACAACAACATAGAGCCCGTTCATAGATAAGATCTGGGAACATGGTGACGTCACCGATAAGCCTTCTGATTGATCGAGACACACAAGCGGTCGGATGATCAGACAAGTTGGAAACAAAGCTTCAGGTTAAACAAACTTCTGTGAAAGAGACGGTAAACAATATGTTTATTACTGATAGAATAGAACAGAGTTATCTTGTAATGTCACCAGGGGTCTTTGTTTAGTGAGAACAAGTCACAACAACACGTATAGAAATGATTAAACAGCATGATAAAAAACCCAAATAGATCACCCTTTGAACACAATCCTATCCAGAAAGGGAAGCAGACGTGTGACGCTCTCCTGTAAGAAGCGGTTCCTCCTCAGGTTCACCGTGATGGTGTGAGCTGACGACTGCTGAAGCAGATAGTGAAGAAGCTCCCAGTTCAGACAGAAGCTGCTCAGGTCTCCACCAACCTTACTCAAGAAGGACCGGGTCAAGTCCTTGTCCTGGATCTCATGGAGGAGGGAGAGCAGCTGCTGGAAAGTCTTCTCACTCAGTCTGCAGATAGAAAACGTATGAATATCTGTTAGAAGAGTCCAGGATGAATACATTACATCAGTATGGAATACTTCTACCTGATCGTTAGAGGGCCATCATGAAGCAGCAGTGGGAGGAGACCCAGAGCAGGAGCACAGAACTCAGTCAGGTCTAACCGTGTGACTGTCCAGTATCTCAGCAGGGATGCCAAACTACTGACAACCTTCAACAACCTTCTCTGTGACGGCTGGGCTTTCTGAGGGGAGAGAGAAAGCTCTTCCACAGCCAGCCGACGGCCCGCTTCCCTTCTTCTTACCCATCGACACAGTAGCAAGGCCATGTCGCTGGAAAGCCTGGAAATAAAGAAGAATGAAGTCACACAACTAACTGGACATTCACAGTGGAAAGGATGGAGTCACTAGAACTAAAGGCAGTAAAGATATCAATGCGTACCTCAGACTGTGTACTTGTGTTGCTCCTCTAAAGAGGAGGGAGGCTCCTCTGAGAGACATCTTTCTGTCACTAAGGGATCAGTGTCTCGCTCAAGGACACTTGTAAGGGTTCATGTAAATAACAAAACACCGGTTATTATGAGCTGGGTCTTTTTTGACAAACGTCTTCTGAAGTAAATACATAGTATTATAAAATATGCAGTATTAGTCAGAGTTACCTGAGCTGTGAGATAAAAGGCAGACACTGTAGGAAACTCCTCACTTCACTCTCTTCATGTGAGCAGCCTCTCAGCTCCACTTGTTTCTTCTCTGGTTGGAGTTTCAGCACTTCCAGGAGGATGGAGGTCTTTCTCTGTGAGAGGTCTATGGACCAGACTGAAGGAGCTGACTGGGAAAGTGGCCTCAGTTTTGGAATGACAGCTGAAAACCCTTTAGTCTCGACATGCTGATAAAAGTCAAGAAGGGTGTTATTTAAGTCAGTGGTGACAGAAAACAATGAGAGGAGCGTCTCCACTTCCTTGAGAAAGCTTTGTCCTTCGTGAAGTGCTGCTTTCAGGCATAAATCCAGTAACACCTGCTTCTTCTCCTCCCTCTCCAGTGTCCGTTGCTCCTGGTCCTGTAATGCTGGACCTGTGTGTGTCATCCTGAAGCTGCATGATAACAAACAGATGTATCAAACAGCACACGTACGGTAAAACTCTTTAACATTCACAGTTGTAAACAGACAGGTTAGATATGATCTATGACATGTAAACAAGCTTTACTGCTTTAAGCCTCTGTTATACTTTCCACGAGGACGTCACACGGATATGAGCCGACGAGGAAGCGTGAAAATGAGCATTTCTAATGCTGCAATGAATAATAGAAATACATGAAAGTTTACTTCTCTGCTGTGTATTAAGTGTCCACCTTAATGCTGATCCACATATCTGCATTAAGGTGGAGACCTCCCACCAAACAATCAACGGTTCTACAAAAGGATGAAACTTAAAGTGTGTGGAATCAGCATCACCTACAAACAGAAGCTACATACCTGAGTGAGCTGATGTGTGGCAAAGCCTCTAAGAGAGACGTGCACAGACTCGGGCAGACTGGAGTTTCTCTCTCCCAGTGGAGGCAGACGTTAACCTTCGTAGGATTCCTCTGCATGACTCTCACTGCTCTTTGAAACAGCTCGCTTTGACCCTCAACTGGAAGGTGCAACTGATTTCCATCAAGGCCAAGTAAGCTGATGTGGTCCATCTGCCCTTCACTCAGAAGCAAAACCCTCCACAGCTGCAGCAGCAGAGGGTCACACCTTCATTTGAAGAATCAGAGACCACTTCCTCATTATTACAATAACCGAGTAGAGAAACAGTAAAGGATCATAAAAAGTGTTTATGCACAGATGCTACCGCTAAATTTAATTGATTTCTGTTCTATTTCCTCATCACGTCTTGGTTTAATTAATAAAAATAAGTGGTTAAACATGAAGAACAGTTCAATTGTACTTAATTAGATGTGTTGTAACCTTAACAGTCATTAGACATTTAAAACACGTGCTCACTCATACCTTTGGACATTTTTAAGGCATCCAAATAGTTGTCTCATTCCTTGTTCTGATACCATGACGTCCTCAAGGTTCAGCGATATTTTCCTCTCCGTCGACTGAGCGACCACATAGGCCACAGCACAGCAGGGGAGAGGGTCCAGACTCTCTCCTCTGAGATCCAGATGGTAGTCCAGCTTGTCCAGGAGGTTCCTGCATGCGTCAGGACACTGGGACTCATACAAGCACTGGCATAGGAACAGTGTGTCCACATCACGCCCACTGTCCTCAGGACCAGCCTCATCCGTCTCACACAATGTGTCGATCATTTCCTCAAAGAACCAGTTCGATGTATTCTTGAGCTCCTGAGCTGGAATCAGACACTTCATGAGACTCGCGCTCTTCACATTCAACAATCTACACATGAAAGGGATCAGATGTTTCATGTGTTTCTTCTCCTCAGTGAGGCATTGCTGAAGAACATCCTTGATTTGATCTGGATTCGATAAGATCCACAGCGCTGCAAAAAACTCCTGCATGGTGTAGTGGAGAAATGCATGCGTGGTGATTCTCTCCGTGGGGTGGACTTTGATAACAAGTGGATTCAGGAAGGAAAGGACACAGCTGTCTTCACAGGGACGTTTTGTCAAGTTCACAGATTTTCCTTCAGTCGCATGAAAAGCAACCTCAGCCAGAGATAGTATTTCATCCCAGTTGGTCTTGCTGAAGAAATCTAGATCTTTGGTTTTTTTTGGGCTGTTGATCTGAAGGCACTGGCGAACAATATTGATGTAGATGTCAGCTATACTGCACGGCTGTGGAGAGTCTTCTGGTGTCTCAGATGAAAAGCAGACAGACACCATCAGTGCATACATTGGGACATGGCAAAGAGTGAACAACTCCAAGTTGCTCAAAACCTTCTTCTGTTCCTCTCCGAGCATTGCAGATAAGTATGTTTGTATGGCCTGCTCATTAAAGCCTTTCACCTCAACTCTGTGAAAGTCTTCTTCATCATCCGGTCTCAAAGTCACAATGACCTTGGCCTCAGACAGTAGGTCCTTCTTTACAATCTTCTCTACCACTGATGGATGGTCAGACAGATCTGTGATTCCATCAAAAATGAGCGTGACATTGTCAGAGTTGTTCTTTATGGCCTGTAAAACCTCTTCTTTGCCTTCTTCTGGTTCACTGAACACACCGAAGAGAAGATCCTCCAAGTTCCTGATGTCGGATGTTTTTCTCATGTCAAAGTAAAACATGTAATCAAGCTCCTCGTTGTCTCTTTCTGCCCACAGCTTCAACATTTGGTGAGTGACTGCTGTCTTTCCAATCCCAGGTTTACCGACCAACAGTATGTTTGTCCCTGTTTTCAGCAGGTCATGGGGCAGGTGGTGTTGGCCGTGCAGGCCTGGAGGTGAAGGGACAGAGGTTGTCCAAAGAAGAGGAAAGGGTGCAGAGGAGAAGATCGGTAGCAGCATCAGGGGCTAGGAGAGAGGAGTCATTTTATACTACACAGACGCTTCTCAGTATGAGTAGTTAAACGACATGCAGTCGCTAAATTTGTAAATATGATCCCGGTTTTCCATTTGTTGCCAACAATGTGGTTATACACGCCTGTATTGATTTGTATTAATCACATACGTCCTGTCTCAATGTTTTTATTATGTACATATGATCCCTCGATGCTTTTTAAGCTTTATATTTTATGCAGCTCGGAGCTTTGTTAAAATAGGCCACAAGACTGCTGCTTTACGCGGCGTTAACAAGCCCAACAAACCTGCATTTGCAAATACAATGACCAGAAAACAACGTGTGACGTAGTTATTGGTTCACATTTGTGATAATTGGCCGAGGAAAAGGACAGGATTTATCATGTTGTGCAAGAAGACGAAGACACGGCATATTATTTCATTACAAACATGTAAAAACTGACAGTTCAACACGCCGTTAGAAAGGTGATTTTTTTTATTATAGTTTTTCACTCTGTACATGTGTGTTCTAGCTATGTACAATCACATGATGGAAGTATATGGTTACATGGAGGATCTGATCAAACAATAGTCGGGGGATACATGTGTGTAGAGTAAAATAAAATGTGGGAGGAGTCAACATCAGCACAATCTCTCAGGCGTAGAGAACTGTAAGCTGCAACCAGCTGTGTACCTCTTCCTTTAGTGAATATGACTGAACTTACACACAGAGAATCTCGTCTTTATACAAGTGTAAATATCGTCATGTTTACAAGGAAAACACAGGAAACTTTCTTAGATAATCAAAAGGCACAGCCACAAACTAGAGGTATAGCAGTGTGAGGGTTAATTAATGACTGATGTTCATGTCTCAGCCATAGTGATGACTAAAAGTGATTAAAAAAGACACCCTTAAATCGGGATTATCTATAATAAGATATGGGTTTGTCTTAGTTTAGAGATTATGTCATAATACTCGTATGATTCCTCACACTAGAGCGGCAAAGTTCTCTAATGGTGTGCAGCTTCACTTTCAATAAAAATGATTTTGTCTTCATGTTTGTGTCCAAATTCAATATTCTTACACCCTGGTTATTGAGAGCTGGCGCTAGATGTCTGTGAGGAAGGAGGAAACAATACTGTGGCAGTCCAGCAGATCCAGCAGTGTTGACAGTGTTACACCCACCATCGTGCCCGTGCACACACCCTCAGTTCTAACCTGGCATAACCACAGTGTCTATAGAGGCCGTTCTCAGGCGCAGCTTAAGAGGATTCGTCTTTGCTCTGTCGGATGTCGGCGACGCTCTCTGGAACCCGGGCCACCACGCCCTCCAGAGACTTCGTCAGACAGATCTGGCAGCCCAGACGGGATCTGTGGGGAGAAATGTCGTGTTTACCTTCACTTTATGGTCGAAAGGGTTTCCATTTAAACTCTGTAACAGAGAGGCTAAGACCAATCATTGGACCTTAATTTGAAAAAAATATGTACGAGTCATAGCCGAAAACAGTCATTAAAAAGTAATTTAGTCATATTATAGTAAGTCACAAAAATGACATTAAGTAAATATTCCTGAGAGATCACGTTCGCAGGAATGCAGCAGACAACATTCATTGTTTTCAGTCAGACATCACTCGATCTAACGTTGCACAGCACATCTCTCTCTCTGCCTGTGACGTTAAGCTGGCATATCATTAAATGAATTACAATTGAATGAACTGTTTAACTCTACCGAACAAGGTGGCTGCAGGTGAAAAAGACAAACGCAGCTTTTTTTACCCGTCAAATTACTGAATTATTGAAACTACTGCAACATCTTAATGACATCTTAATCATACGTTCGTTCTTGCCTGCAATCGTTTAGTTGGCCACTGAGGGGCAGCAGAAACAAGATCAGCTTATGAAGTTAATTCTGTGGGTTTATCACTACAAGGGCCCCCCTTTACATTCCTTTAGATACAATGGCTCTCCTTTATGAAGTAGTTTGCTGTTGTACCCGAGGTAAGCTGATGCTGTGCGTAGAGGGCCTGCCTTGTGTGCGCTCCTTTGTCGCTCTTACTAATCTCATTACCCCGACAGACCCATCTCATCAGCACCATGCAGATTGTGAGACCGCTCTCTTTAAAATGTAAGACTCACATTGTGAATAGAAATAAAAACGTGCGTCCTCCTTACGTGTCAGTCAGGCCGTAGGCTAAGTCTAGCATGTCCATCTCCTCGTCTGTGACTGGCCCCAGACTCTTATAGGTGTCCTCGTCGAAGATTAGATGACATGTGGAGCACGCCAGGGTTCCCTCGCACGCCCCTGAAACCACACACACACACACACACACACACACTTATAACTGTATCTGATGGATAAGATTCAGCTAAGTTACAGACAGGCAGCTGTTTGCTATGATGCTCACTGTTACTGCAGAGTAACGAAACTGCAAAATACTCGCCTGCGAATATTTTATGTCTGGGGCTTTTATTGTGAAATGTAGGAATGGAAGGATTTTGTGGGCTGAAGCCTAAATATTTACAACCGTTTCCTCTTTGGAACAACAATAGCATTATTTTTATTTACTCATTTCACATCAAAATCAGCAACTTTATGCACCAATTACTATATATTGCTCTCAACACGTTGTGAATGCACCTATCTTTTAGAGAGCTGATGCCAAAATAGTTTGTATTTCCTCCACTGCAACACCAACATGTGTGTGAGTGTGTGTGTGTGTGTGTGTTTGTACACGTGCAGCGTGCGCTCGCATACCAAAGCCATCAAAGTCGAGGTCTTCATTAATGACGATATCTAGCAGCGAGTCTCCGGGCGACCCCCTCACAGTGATCTTCTCCCCGTCTCTGTTGACGAAGTTGATCGTCACCTTGTTGTCCGACCTGACAGACAAACACACAGAACAGTTTTAATCGAGCATTTCTAAACCACACTTTCACACACTCATTTTTACAGCTGTTTTTCTGATCTCTGGAGCAGCGAATAACATCTGGATTCGCGATTGGCCTTCTGCACTCCTACACCAATGTATATTTAATAAGACGTCAACGTTATACCACAGCGAGAGGCTGCACCAGCTTGGGTTTTAACCGGGATTTGAAAATGAAAAGCGAGATGAGGGCTGTGAACTTTGAAATCGTTGAGCAGAACATTTCACAAAGCACAGAGCCAGAAAGAAGGAACAGTGAGTCCTTTTGAGACGGATGTTCTGTCACACGCCACAATAACAGATGAAAACAAATACACATGAGCAAAGTACCATCCTGTCGTAGGGTTGGAAAAAAAGAAATGATCAAATACGCATCAATCAAGTTACTTAACTTAAATGATTAAATCACTTATAAAGAGCATTCAAGTTCACTATATTCCTGTCGAGTGACCCCGATTATAAATGTCCTTATAGAACTCACACAACATAAACTCATTGACTATTTTTTGAAAGCAGATTACACCACATGACCTTTTCATTATTATAAATGCTTAGACTTGGCAATACGTGCAACTTTGATCGCCCAAGTGGATTTTTGAACACGATAGTCTTTGGAGGGGGTCAGGGCCAGCCGTGCACGCCTGACGTGGGTGCAATTCCAGTTGTGCAATTCAACAGTTGTTTGGCCTTGGGGAGCCGAGCCATCGGCCACAGCCTTGAGCCTCAAGGATGGATCCCTTTAGGCTCTGCCTTTTAGCCTCATCCAAGGTTCACTCAGCCTGTGCTGAGGTGATAACACAACAAACTGTTGCTATTGTGTGGCACACACACTTGTTTTCACACAAATCCAAACCTCATCTATTTGTGTTCACCTATATTTCCTCAAGTGTTTTTGTTGATTGTTTTGGACTCCATTCACAAACCTTCTATACAGTCTCTGGGTGCAACACACATTACTAGAGGCTCAGAGATAAAGTTCAAACCTGTTGTTTTTATAGTTGTTTTCTTGCCACTTGCTGACAGAGATTCTAGTGGAAACTTGACTGAAACGTAAATGAATTGCGCTTCTTACACACGTGTCTCATTAAGGCGAGCTGCAAGGACAACGGGCACAAAAAAACAACATGACAGGTGAACCTGATGACCTGCCAGATGTGTGTGCTAATGAGAAAGGTCAAAACTACGCGTTGTATGAATGGAGTTTGGCTCTGTGCAGGAGGGTTAGGTTTAAACGTTGCCCTGTATATGAACAGTAGTCTCATTAAAGTTGCCTACCTCAGAGACGGTGAGCCGCTGGTGAAGCTCCTCTGACTTGTCAGCCAGGCGCCCGAAGTTACTGCCGCCGTCCTCCACGAATACTCTCGTGACCTCACGTGAGCCAGTCTTCGTAACGCCGTTACAAACGCCATTGGAAGTACAAACAAGGGGTTGAATGCTGGGCTGGGAAACACGCAGACACGGGTCCACTTCCGTCTTTGAGTCCTACCGGAGAGAGGAAACCCGAAGTTGTCCGGTTTAGCCCACAGAGTTAGCTAAGTTAAGCTAGCTTGTTTTAGCTGCGAGAAGTCACTCTGTCACTGTCACGTTCATTGCGTAACATAGGGCACGAGCTTGTTGTCTAAGATTCAAAATCAGTACGTGGATTGGACGTTGATGAATAGCTAAACAAACACAAAGCAGGCGGATGCTATCAGCCGCAATCCCACTGCCCCGGCTTGATGTAGTCTAGCAGCAAACGTGAGCGATCCCGATGGATTTCCGACCAAGGACATCGGCGAGAGAAGGCATAACACAACAACTTCCTGTCGTGACTTTCAAAATAAAAGCTTTAGCAACCAACGCTTCGGTCCCAACTCTTCCGTAATTACACCCCCCATAGGTTAAAATTAAGTACATGCTTCATAAGAGATAGTCTCCATTTTTTTGTCGTTCGGGCCACACAAAGTTATAATTCATTATCAGGAGTGTTTTTGTTTACTATTATTTTGAAAGCTATACCGACAATCGTCCTGCTTAGTGGAGGCTAACTTGACGACTGGATGCCGCTAACAGAAAATGCATAGACTGTATGTGGTTTAGCCACGTGCTTGCTAAAAGTTTACCAATCCGGGTTTGAGTGAGTTTTTTTGAATTACAGCAGATGAACTGCCCCGAAGTAGAGCTGATTATATAATTGAGAAACTCAAAAGTGTTGCTTGATAAAGGTAACTTTGTTTTTCAAAACACGGCACACCTTGTTATAAGCAGATATGACCGGGTCAGGGTTGAATAGGTACAATGAAGCTCTCTTATTTAAATGTTCTATTATAGTAAGTTTCTGCATCAGGTGGAGCCAGAGATAAAGAATAATGAATCACTTATTTCAAAAAGATATAGCATGACCGTCTGTATCTTCAGACATAAACGTTGCTGAAAGAATTCTTGATATGGCATACAAAAATTTTACAAACATGATTTTATTTTGAAAAATTGGAATAAGGGGCCCTGAGGTTTGTCTACAACCCCTTAGGTCTACAGTACTAACACCCCCCCCCCAACAACCATTAGTGACCTCCACAGTCTCTGTCCACAGTCACAAATATTGATCGAGCCCCCCTCGAGTATACCAAGTGTCATTGACCTTCAACATATTTACAAGACAGGATGCGTACAGTAGGCTACATAGACTGTATGGGCACAGTATTATAGGATGTTAAGGAAAACTGCACTTTATTGGCTGCGGCAGGCAAGCCCTGAGGGCAAAGTGCATCCAATATCAGCCATCATAAAGCCATGGGAGATGCAGATGAATCAATAATCTCGTTCACTGTTATTATCTGGGGTTTATGACCGAGACAGTGATATATTAATGGGACGCCTTTTGTTCCCAAGTGTTCATCTCCGCTGACTCAGGTAAGCAACACAAGAACTGACCCACAGTCTCTAGGTTTACATTCGCTATAGAGCACAGGATATAGAGCAGTTTCAAGCTCCGTTTATTCTGCCGTTTACAGGATGTTCAAGTTCGTGCTGCTGTTCCTGATGCTGTCGGGTAAGATCTTTCATTGTAGTTATGCTTTTTTGTTACATTAAGTGTAGTGAAGATAATTCATTTTTTTTCCTGTAACATATTTCCTTTGATATATTTGGAGAATATAAAAATGTCCATTTCTAATCGGAGGTTTTGACAGCAGTGTAATCCAAGCAACTGGACTGTACATAAATAAGACATAGACCATTGTTGATTTATTACTCCGTTAAAGAAAAACTCAATAGTTATTTATCTGGCAACTGGCCAAGTTATTTGCTTAATCAGCAAGGAAGTGTAAGGTTGCCTGTATTCAAACACCACTATTACTAGGTGTCTGCCTAGTGCCAATGCCCTGTCTGGCAATGTTTATAAAAGTGAACAATAATGCGTGTATCCGCCCCATGATTCGGATCCGCTCCAAAATTGAATGGGTTCTTCCTTGGCCCATGCTACACCTTTCCCCATAGTAACAAAACAAAGCCTCCTTGGCAAAGGTAACAAGCAGGATGTGTAAAACACCCTTCACAGGCCTCCAAGCTGCCCCACTTGCAGTCCGAAGACGTTTGCAGAAGACACCTTCAACCTACCAGCTCCCTGATGGCTTTCGACAGGGCACCGAACACTCTGACATCCATAAACCTGTTCCTGACGGCTTCCGTCAAGGTACCGAGCCCTCCAGGAGATTCCTTGTTGACCTCAACACTGGCCTTGTGCAGGAACACATCAGTGAGATGAACAGTAGAGTGGGTAAGTATATAATCAAACCCAATCCAGAACTAACTACTTAAACCCGTTTTTGTTTTTCATATACATTTCCTCTTCTAGCTTTCAGACGTCCTTCTCTGGGAAAGGGATTTGGAGAGATGGAGAGAAGACACTGGCTGACAGATGAGGGTGAGGAAGCCATAAAGGGAAATAGTCACAATTTATGAAAACTATGATTTATGCTCCACTACTTCAGCATATAACCACAAGAAACTACCAAGATACAGCAATAACCTGCCCGTTAAAGCACAAACTTTGGCCATTCAAGAGTCATGGATTGCAATGTTGGTCGCCTTACCACTTTGGTCCAGATGGAAATATCCCAACAACTATTGGACGGAATGCACAGGCATTCATAGTCCCCAGTAGATAAATCGTATTTTGGTTTATGACCACATGCGTGCAAAACTAATGACATTCCCATCAGCCTCAGCCTTTGTTTTGTGCTAATTAGCAAATGTTAGCATGCTAACACGTTAAACTAGGATGGTGAACATAGTAAACTTGCTAAACTTCAACATCCTAGCATTGTCATTGCGAATTTTTTTATTATGGCTATAGACTCTTAGTTTTTTAGTTTTATTTCTTTTATGTACTTCTGTTTTCCAGTCCCTGTGGATGTTCCAGCCCAGAAGAACGGTGGTGGTTGGGTCCGTGTCGAGGAACCCTCTGCTCCTCTTCTCCCAGATGGTTTCAGACAGGGAACAGAACCCATGAGGTTCATCCCAGATGGTTCCAGACAGGGAACAGAACCCATGAGGTTCATCCCAGATGGTTTTAGACAGGGAACAGAACCCATTAGGTCCATCCCAGATGGTTTCAGACAGGGAACCAAACCCATGATGTCTATCCCAGATGGTTTCAGACAGGGAACTGAACCCCGGATGTCTATCCCAGATGGTTTTAGACAGGGAACCGAACCCGTAATTTCGATCCCAGATGGTTTCAGACAGGGAACTGAACCCATTCTTACAATCCCAGAGGGCTTTAGACAGGGCACTGAACCCATTCTTACAATCCCAGAGGGCTTTAGACAGGGCACTGAACCCTCCACCTCCAGGCTCCAGAAAAAGACAGTGGCATGTAAGGGGGAGGTCATCAATGGAAACTGCTATGAGTTCAACCCTACGCAGCTGGCCTTCCAAGATGCACAGGTTAGACACATGACATCTCACATTACACTTATAGACAATGATGCTGTGTGACAGTGGTGAGTCCATGTCACCTATACTGTTTTGTGTTAAAGACATCCTCACATTAAAGGTCTGTGTTTGTGGCTCTACAGATTAAATCTCAAACTTTTCTGTGTCATATATCTCAGGCCTTGTGCAGATCTCTCGCCCCAAATGCTGAGCTTGCATCTGTAACCACTGACGATCTGCATTCCCGCCTGGTCTACCTGGTGACCAAGGGTGGCAGGAGCAGCCCTGTGTTGACCTGGCTGGGAGGCACGGTCAAGGCAAGTTCCTTTCATTAACTAGCATTTAGAGTCACATCACCATCTTTATGCATGTGCTTACTGACTGTGACGCCTGTACTGTGGCACAGAATCGAGGCCAAGGAGAGTGTCATCAGATATGTTATCAACAGGACAGATAGTGTTATTCTTTCCTTGGTAAAACATTGACCGTTGAACTTTCATTTTTCAAATGTTCCAGCTGTTTCTGTCGAGTCACTAAACAAGGCCAGAAAGCAAAAAACATGAGCAAAATCCTACTTATGAACAGTATTAGCAATTTCAAAATAAACTTACGTATATGGGACAAGAGGCCCTTTTCTTCATTGCATACTTTTACTTACTTCTCATGATACTTATGTACTTTCACTTAAGTAAGATTTTTAAAGAGGACTTTTACTTCCTGTTATTGCTTTTACTTTGATAAAGGATCTGAATACTTCCTCCACCAATGCCAATGTGTTAACTGTCAGCTTTAATAAGAGTCAAGACTATTATGCGTGCATGTTCTTGACATACTGTATGTGTGTTGGCGTTGCACACCTCAGAACCAGCAGGCATCATGGGAAGACGGGTCAGAGTGGCACTACAGCGACTGGATGCCGGGTCACCCCAACATCCACACTGATAAACCTGTCTGTGTGGAGATGTTCAAGATGGGTAAGAACACACCACAGACACGCAAATGACTGAATTATATCTACAATCAGCATTTCCCAGAAGGCTGTTGTATCAGGCAGGCAGACCATTTAAGCGAGACTATGTAATAAAAAATAAACCTTTCACCACGTTATTAATTAAAGGGTTACCGACCAGTGTTCAAAGTTCAGATAACCGTCGTGGTTACATCACGGAACGTTTGATAAGATAAAATATCAACTTGTATGAAAGAATCTTTGCCCTGTTGAACTGCTTAGACATACTTCCTTATTGTTCCGTCTCATTAGCACAATTATACTTTTCATAAATACTAGTAACCAGCATTGGGTCTTAGACCCTAGAACTGTGTGTTAAGTTAGGGTGAGCCAACTTGTCTTTTACAATCCTGACCCGACCCTTTCTGCAGATGAGAGCTGGTGGACGGCCGCCGACTGTGAACTGAAGAGAGCGTCCATCTGTTCGTACCAGATCGCTGCATGAAACCCACAAAGAAGCAGAGCATAAGAGGGTGGCTCTCTTGATTCGTTTCCTCTTGTTCATCCTTCACAATCTTACAGACAAGGTTGTTGACACTAGTTTGGGCTACTATCCTCTGTATTTCCTCAAATAAAACTTGGCATATTACATCTATGTGTGTGTGATCTGTGCACAAAATTGCCATGGGGGAAAAGAGAAGACATTTTTACCTTAGCCATGGCAGTGACTCTTCTCTTAAGCGTTTACGGTAAACCTCAGACAGAAGAACCACAACTCATACAACCCGTTTAAATTTAGACAAGACTTTAATGATCATTTTCCACTTGTGTATACAAAGCAGTTTATACAGATTAGGGAGCCAAGTTAAAACAATTTGTTACAATTTAGTACCTGGAAAGTGCAAAAGTACATTTCAAATACGCAGAAATAAAAATCATGCTGTACATTATATACTGTATTCATAAATAATCACAGATATACACACATCCATTTGGTGACAGTCACAGAGAATGTTGATAAGACACAAAATTGTCATTTTGTTTGATTTTGCTTTGAAGTCCTATAATCTTGGCTTCCGTTGAAACTGTGGAGGTTTCACGTGTGGAATGCTGCTTTCATTAGATCTACCGTAAGGTCGGGGGACGATGAGCTGTGTTAATGCCACACTGGGATAAAGGCACTCCGTTTGTTGCAGTCGTGGAACAACCCAAACAGTGGTCTATTGTCTGAACGACAAAATGTGGATGAGCGAACGAAGAAAAACGTCTTTCACAGAAACCTCAGAAAGAAGGACACAGACTGGTCTTTGCGCTCCATCTTGCTGTGACATTTAAATAAAAACTAAATACAGAAAGAACACCAGAGAAACCGTGTGTCCAATGCCGAATCCATGACCCATGAGCCGAAACAATCAAGGTCTGCCATTATCCACAGAATCAGAGAAACCGCATCAACAGAATTTGGCTAAAAGAAATAAACACGCATCATTGGCATGTCCTCACACACACACACTCACACACACAGGTATGGTGCAAAACATAAATCACACATTCTCATCCACAGGTGCTTCATTCTGTGGATTTTTGTGTAAAGAAATCACATTCACACACTCGAACAAACACATCTTCCAATCTACCTCAAGGCATGTGAGCCTTCTTGATGCCCCACAAGAGAAAAACTCACTTCACAACACGCAGGAGGGAGAATGAGATGTCAAAACAATAGAGGATGGTAGTTTGAGGCAATGATGCAAGCTAAAAGGAGAGGGAGGGAGATGTGGTGCATTTACTGTCCCAGTTAAGCTACAGGAAGACTGGAGATAAAGGGCTGGCAGAGCAAACCAAGACAGGACAGAAAGACAGGACGGAAGCGTCGACAGCCACCTGGCGAAGGAGCTGTATTGCCGTTAACACTGACATCTCGTTAAGCCCTTGAGGATTTCGTCTTCCTCCTTCTTTTGCAGGTGTCTAAACAGTCGGAACAGTTTTAAATATGCAATACCGGTGCCTGTATTCAAGAGACAAAGTGGAATTCTAAAAACTGCTACTTTTACTTATAAATAAACACGGATTCAAGTAAATTAAAAACATTCTATGAAGTGTTGTGTGACTTTAAAGCCGCATCTCTGTGTAATGCAGTGACGCATCTTCACATGAGAATGTAGTGAGAATATTTTCTTTTACAAAACTATTTCTGAAATGAGATGCCGACATTAAAGACAAGACGCTACAGATGTTTCTAGAACAAAACAAGTCGGCAAAAAGCGTTAAAAAAAACAAAACAACAACAACCATGAGTTCTCCATCACCGATGATGATGCCTCATCTCAAAATGGACCAAAAATGTTATGCATACGAACAAAGACGCCAAGTTGCTGGGCACATGCATAAATCTGTCCAAAAAACAAACAAACCCAAAGAAAAGAAATGAACAATAAAAAAACCCACACACTATCTATCTATCTATCTATCTATCTATATCTATATCTATATCTATATATATATATATATATATATATATATAT